CTGAACATTTATTTCAATAATATTTAGTTAATATCTATATAAATGTTGATGAACAGTGACTGAACTGAGTTCATACTCACTAATCAGAAATCTGTGCAGATTAATATAGTGATCTACATAATATCATACAGATAGATGATATGAATCATGAGCAGCTTGATCACTGTGTGATATTATCTACTTCTTATATAGACAGTGAACATTTTATATATAAACTGTTTCAGGATTTTATAATAATTGTCTTCAACTATGAATGTTCAACTCTTTTCATTACATTCACAGTTAACTCTGAGTGAGAGAAGATTATCTGTGAGTTGCTCTCTGATCAGACTGCAGTAGATTACTCAGATTTGATTATACATGTTTTTACAGTGAAGATTTTTCATTTTCTTAATATTCTCAAATTCAGACAGCTGTTCAGGCTGATGTTGATCAGAATATGAATAATTGAATATTAAAAACATGAACTGTCTTATATATATCTGTTAATCTGACTAGAGAACTCTGAGTGATTTTTGCAGTCTGATACAATTGATAATATTATATCTGCAGAGCTGTCAAGCCCTGCTGAGAATATAGATGAGTTGAGTGAATTGATCTGTAAATTCATGATTCATGATTCATGTAATACTGGCAGGGTGAGTCCCTGCTATGAGAATGACAGATGTATAAAACATTTTCTCAAAGCTTTTCAGAGTGCTACAGCTGTTGAAGAGAATGACTATTCTCTGTATAGACAGAAGCATGATTCATCTATCTTCTTTAAATATACTATCAATAATAGTGAGATTGTAATTGACAATCAATGAGTTGTTTCATACAACCTCTATCTCATTCATATATATAAAGCATATATAAATGTAGAGATCTGCGCCTCTGTTGAAGCTATTAAATACATTAATAAATACATCTACAAGGGCTCAGACCACACTGCTCTTCATATCATTAACTTCAATGATGAGATTGATATTCAACTGCACAGGCATTATATTGGCTCAACTGAGACTGTATGACATATATTCACATTTTATATGTATCAGAAGTTTTCATCTGTTGAGATATTATCTATTCATCTACTGAATCATCAGATGATTTACTTCTCTGAATCTGAACATGAAGATTATAAATATATTACTGAATATTTAATAAATAACATATCTAAGTTTATAGCATTCTTTGTCTATAACAATTTATATCTGAATGTTCAGTATCTCTATCAAGAATTTTCTCATCATTTTGTTTGAGATAAATATAACTGAAGGTGAAAGAGCTGTATGAAGAGAAGATCAGTTGACTGTCTATCTCATCTCAGTTTATATAATGATGAGATGTTCTTTTTACAGCTGCTTCTTATTAACATATGTGATTCACTGAGCTTTAAGACTCTGTAAATAGTGAATGATATTTATCATTCTACATTTCATACAGCATGTCAGACACTTGATCTTCTGTATAATGATAATGAGTGAATCATTACATTTGAATCTGCTGTTGTATTTACAACTGCTCACTGCATGCAGTCAGTATTCATCACTGTATTAATTTATGAAAATGTTACAGATTCATCTGCTCTCTGAGCATGTTTCTATCATACTCTCTATGATAATCTTTCACATTGACTGTATCAGATGAATTCAGACTGTATTATTAATACTTCTGTAGAAGATTTATATTATAACTATAATCTGTTTCTTATTCAGCAGCTTCTGTATAAGTTTGACAAGATTCTTACAGACTTTGACCTGTCTGCATGCAGCTCTGTATGAGATAATCTTATTAAAAACTAGCTACTTTTTGAGAAGCAGAACTACAATCTTATAGAGAAAATCACTACTGCAGATGCTCTGTAGATGCAGTTAAATAATGATCAACATTATGCATATAATTCAATTCTGGCTGCAATAGAATTACAGTCCTCTCACTATTTTCTACAAGATTCTGATGACACTGATAAAACATTTCTTTACAGAGCTCTCTATAGCTGTTTATATACAGATGAAAAAACAGTTCTTTGTATGACTTTCTCTGACATTGCAGCTGTTCTTTTATCATGTGACAGAACTACTCACTTATATTTTATCATCTCAATTGAATTGAATGCAGATTCTGTGTCAAAGATGATTATTCACAGTGAACTGAGTCATCTGCTGCAGGCTGTAGACTTAATTATTTAAGATAAGACTCTCATACAGTACTGCTATTGTATGAAGATTGTTGATCATCTTCTTCAAGATTTATATTCATTGAATGAGCTTTTTAATGATGTATCTGTTATATTTAATGGTGATTTTATACAGACTCTGTCTGTTATACTGTGTGACAGCTGTGCTGCAGTTGTTACAGCTTGTCTGCAGTGTTTATATATATAATAACAGTTAACTGTACTGTACTTGAGAAGAAATATGAGACTGGCTGCAAATGATGACAATATGATATTTATAAATTAACTTGATTAAATATTATATAATTCAGACTGTATTAACTGTATTAATCTTTCATTCTATATTCATTGAGCTGCTGATATCAGTGTACTGTGTGAGAGAGTATTTTCTACAGCTGAACTTAGAACTGCAGCAGTCTGCTCTGATTACTTTGAAAGCTATGTCATTCTCACTGTATTAAATCAGAATGTATTTCACATTAATGAACAGATTATGACAGCTATGTCAGATAATGTTCATACATTTTATACTGCAGATATAACTTATATAGATGATCTGGCTCTGAGCTGTGAGAAGTTCTTCTGTGAATATCTGACTATTATTAACTGTTCAGTCCTGTTATTATTCATATTAAGGTTGAAAGTGAGCATTTCTGTTATACTTCTGTATAATCTCTGACTATTCAAAGAGCTCTGCAATGGCATAAGAATGATTGTTCAGCAGATGATAACTCATTTACTTAAGATGAAGATCATATCTGATATGTATAAGAGTTCAGTTCATATACTGTCACAGATCAATCTACAAGCTCAATCTGTTGAGATTTCATTTAATATGACTCATCATCAGTTTTCAGTTCATTCATACTTTGTAATGATAATTAACAAGTCTCAGAAACAGTCTCTTTCTACAGTTAGTGTTAATCTCAGAAATCTCATATTCTCATATAATCAGCTATACATTGCACTCTCTCAAACTACAGATATCAATCAGTTGACTGTCTTACTAGATGAGAATGATAAGAGATATATATTAAATAAGATATATTCAGAGATTCTACAGTTTCTTAACTAATTCTTCTACTACTGCTGTTTTTTCTTCATTATCTATACAATATTATTATCAGATATTAAAATAGAAGTCTTTAAATATATAAAAAACTGTCATTTTAATTTGATACTAACTATTAAAGAAAAGAAAAAAGCAATAATACTTTATTAGACTCATTCTCATATCTCACACAGTTTATACAGCTCACTTACATCATTCTCTATTTTTTGAATTTTTTAATCAGAGCTGTAATATCTGTAGAGATACTCTATTAACTGAGCTGAGTTATCTGTAACAGACTCACAGTCTCATCTCACTCTCTATACAAATATTTCATCTCTTTCTTCATCTTACAGAGTCAGTGCATCTTCACTCACAGTTATAATAACTTTAACTTTATAGTCTTACTATCACTCACTTCATCATTCTTCTCTTCATTCTTCAGAGTCATAAATGTCATCTGTTTCTTTTTAATCAGATCAGACAGCTGAGCTGTCTGACTCAGCTTTATACTGATAGCTTACTTCTTCTTCTTTCTCTTCTTCTTCTCATTCTTCTCTGTATTAATAAGAATGAGAGACTGCTGATTCTCTGTTATTTCTATATCAGTATATACATTTTGTATATATATTTTACTAATGAATTTATATACTATAGAGATAATTCATTACTTATCAGACTGTAAGCTGCAGTATTTACTCAGTAAATTATAGTAATAATTTACACAGACTCTCTTCAATATATTAGAGATTACAATACACTTAATAAATAGACTATGACTTTTCTTGTATAAGCTGTATAATGAAGTGACTTTGATGTCACAGCTGTGAGTAAGTACTGATTCTATATTTATTATTCTTTTTAACTGAGACTTGAATTTCTTCTTGCACAGCACTATATCTCTCTTGAGCTTCATCTCATACAGCTGTATAATAATCTCACTGTCTTTCTTAACTATTTATTCTATCAGCAGCTGTAGCCTATATTCAGATATTCATGTGTTGACAGGCTGCTGACATGACTGCTGAGAGATAGATATAGATGAATTGATGAGCTGCTGAGTCTTCAGAGCTCTCTAAGCTTGCTAAGCTTGCTCTGTACTATTATTAGCTGTAATTTCATAATTTCTGAGCTGTTTCTCTTTCAGTTCTTTACTTACATTTGATCATTTTGACTGCTTTAATTGTATTTCAGATGATTTGATAATTAATTGAAATAAATTGTGACATATTTTAATTACTGACTATATATATTATAGTTCTAAGATCTTTATATGAGCTGTCTGACATTTAATTACATCTCACTTGAAGCTTCTACATTAACTCTATAACACTGCTACAGTGTTATTCATCTTTTTTCTATGTAGTTGTTCTCTATTAACAGTTGTGAATTACATGAAATTCATCTATACAAGTCACATGCAGCTGTTCATATTCATGAATATCTCATTACATTCAATCTGAGGAATTAAATGGCATGTTTTTCAAGCTGAATAAGCGAGCGCAAGCGAGCGATTGAGGCTTGTGAAATATAATAGTATTATAGCTTAAATTCTTAGCACTAATCAAACCTTTTGAGAGAATCCTCTGTACATACTCTAAATATAATTCTTAATATAATTAACTTAATTTTCTTTGTGAATTTTATGAAATTTGACTACAGAGTTATTAAGTAGTAAACAGATGTATGAGTAGATGATTTATATGAATAGCCTATAGGTGATGGATTACATTGTATAGTTAATTAAAGTTTAAACAAAAAATAGCAAGAAAATAATAATTTCTGTATATTATCTTCAATTTCATTTTGTGTTTTTCTCATTTCCCGCATGTTTACAGATCGTTCCAGGTTCAACGTGATGATGCAGATCTGGCTCAAAAGACAGTTGCATTAACTCCACGCCCAGATCGACAAGAGCTGGCTTGCGGTTGGGGACGGGAAATGGGGAACCTGGGACTTGCTCCTCCCTCCCTCCGACTGGCTGCAGCCTCTTCCAGGTTCGGCATCGCATCAGAACATCATGCAGCCTTCGCGAAGCTTGTCCGCAATGGGGAGGTAGTTAGATGGAAATGCCACCCCAGAGAGGGGAAAACCCATAACCCTGGACTGCTCCGTCTGGGCCTCAAGCAGCAGTACGGTTAAATATGGGGTTAGGCAAAAAAAAAAAAAAAAAAGGCTCTGCTCGACGTCCCTGTTTGTGTCTCCAGACTCTACAGGCGGAGATCCGTACTCCCAGCCCATGAACATAAATATACATATACGACCCTGCCGCCAGTTGTCGTGATGTGCTTCTTATTCTCAATATTAAGCTCGTTACTTCTGGGATTAATCTACGCTGGGTATTCAAGCCCTTATTGAGCGAAGCCACGCCCACCATGGCTATTTTATCATGGCTTTCCGCCGCGGCGCTGATGTCATCGGCGCTGGCGATGACCCCTGAGTAAGCTTCATTTGTTTACAATATATGTTCGGTTTGATTGAATGATTCTTTAGTGTATCATACTCACACAATTTGGGTGTATAGGCAGTTCATCTCGGCTCCTCGACGAGCTGAAGCGATCCCGAATCCATCAGGAGTGAGTGATTCTTCTTTCTTTTTCCCTTCTTTAACCATTTTGCTCGTGTGGTCACAGTTGTATTTATTTGGTTTCATACTCTCTGACTTCAATTGCTGTAGAAACTGGCTGTTTTTCACGTCTCTCAATATTCATTTGAAAAGCATGATACCATCAAAAACGAGTGGAATTTACTTGACTTGAAAACAGGGGACATTAGCCTTCTCACCGACGATGGCAGTGTTTCGGAGATCCTTTGGCTACCGGGAGACAGGGACGGCCATGAAATTCTCTATGTCAATAGCACCAGCTCGGAGGTGCCTGGTGGGGTTGACCTATGGACTTCTGATGTTAGACGTTTTGAAAGACGGTGGGTTTCTCGGCTACATTTGTTCGCCACGAGTGCAACAGCTAACAGTTGCTACAGTCGTAAGGTTGCCTCGTTTAATGGTCCCCTGCAAGGTTTCAAGGCTGTGAAGACCAGATCAGGCGATATCAAGTTCGTAGCCTATGGTCAATCGACAAGTGATGGTAAACTTTACAACAAAGAGCAGGCAGAGAAGCGATTGAGCTCAGCTCGCATTTACGACAGTCTCTATCCTCGCCATTGGGATTATTGGTTGACTACAGAATTCAATGCTGTCTTCTCCGGAACGTTGGAGAGAAGACGCGGCCATGAGTACACTTTCGACGGGAAGCTCAACAACCTTGTTGCTCCCGTAAAGTATGCTGAATCTCCGGGCCCACCATTTGGAGGCGCGGGCGACTATGATCTGTCCCCGGATGGGAAGACTGTTGCGTTCATGAGCAAAGCTCCAGAGCTTCCCAAGGCCAACCTCACCACTAGCTACATCTTCATTGTACCTCACGATGGGTCTTCGGTTGCTATTCCCATTAATGGACCTGAGAGTTCCGCTGCTGCGGATGGCATTGTTGGTGCTTCATCTAGTCCCGTCTTTTCCCCCGATAGCAAGAAGATCGCATATCTTCAAATGGAGGAACGCAACTACGAGTCTGACCGCAGAATCGTCTATATTGCCACCTTGGACGGAGGCAGGATTGTCAGCCTTGCTAGTAAATGGGATAGGTCCCCAGACAGCCTTAAATGGACACCCGACGGAAAGACTTTATACATGTCTGTCGAGGACCGAGCTCGTGGTAGATTATTTACCCTACCCACCGATGCAGGCGCGGATTACGTACCCGAAAACTTCACAGACCACGGTATTGTTCGCGCTTATCACTTCCTCAAGGACTCGACTTCCGTTCTTACTACCGCAACTACTCTCTGGTCTAACGCCATTTACACCATTGCATCTCCTGATAATGAACCCAAAGTTTTGTTCTCTGCAAACGAACATGATCCGGAATTGAAGGGCTTGGGGCCTGAAGATATCGATGAGTTCTACTACGATGGAAATTGGACCAAGGTTGGTCCTTCTTTATATCTTCGCATTTGCCAATGATTAACTAACGGATCAATAGGTTCATGCCTGGATTGTGAAACCTGAAGGCTTCTGTGAAACTAAGAAATATCCTCTCGCTTTCCTTATCCACGGTGGGCCCCAAGGATCATGGGGAGATTCATGGAGCACGAGATGGAACCCGAAGGTTATTGCGGATCAAGGCTACGTTGTGGTGGCACTCAATCCCACAGGCAGCACCGGATTCGGGGAAGAATTTTGTGACAGAATTCAGAACGACTGGGGTAAGATCAGACCCGCCAAGCGCGACTCCTGCTCTTTAAAATACCCTCACCGCTAACAATGTATTATTTTGATACAGGTGGAGCTCCCTATGATGACCTTGTCAAGGGTTGGGAATATATTAAGGAAAATTTTAAATATATTGATACCGATAATGCTGTTGCTCTCGGAGCAAGCTACGGTGGTTTCATGGTCAACTGGATCCAAGGGATGCCATTCGGTCGCAAGTTCAAAGCTCTCGTTTCCCATGATGGCACCTTCGTTGCAGCAGCTAAGATCGCCACCGAAGAACTATGGTTTATGGAACGTGAGGTACGTTATCCCTAACCAACGCCAGCAAAATCCATATGATTCCTATCAACTTGCCTCTTCCTACAATATATCGCCCTTTTAACGTATAAATATCAGTTCAACGGCACCTTCTGGGAAGCGCGCAAGAACTTCGAACGCTTCGATCCCTCCGCCCCTGAAAATATCCTGCAATTTGCAACCCCCATGCTCGTCATCCACAGCGATCTTGACTACCGTCTTGCTGTGGCTGAGGGTCTCTCTCTGTTCAACATCCTCCAGGAACGGGGTGTCCCGAGTCGCTTCCTCAACTTCCCAGATGAGAACCACTGGGTTCTCAGCAAAGAGAACAGCCTGGTCTGGCATCAACAGGTTCTCGGCTGGGTTAATAAATATTCGGGTATTGAAGCAAGCAACCCCGACGCAGTTAAGCTAACCGACACGGTTGTGCCCGTGGTGGATATTGATGCTGCTGGGCCTAATAATTAATTCGCCCACGTGCATACATATCAACCCGATGTAGTAGGTGTATTCTCAATACATTTTCAGTCTAGATACACTTCTACTTCAAATGCCGTTTTGAATTGATCTATGCATACATATCACACTCTTATTCTCTTATTCTTTGCCATATATATATATATATATATATATATATATATATATACCCGGCTTGGCCCTAACTAATGGGGATTTCCACCACGGGTTTCTGATCCCACGTTACCTCTAGAGCAGTATGTTTTCATTGCGTGCAAGCCTTATTCGTGGTGAGTCCCTCGGAGGGAGTGGACTTAAAGCTTGAGGAAGGTAATACAATGCCGGTAAACAATACATCACCAAATCAAGAGAAGCAAAGGACTGGGAAAAGAGAAAAAGTATGGAAAGTACTCGAAGCGTGGGTATTATGTGAACTTTCTAACAAGCCAAGGAAGGCTACTGCAAACATTATTATTCCCTCTAGCTTTGCTTTCAAGACCCGGCAGGTAGGGAACACATCAAGGGGTAAAAGAACAATAACAGGCCCCCTTTTGCATGGCCCCTTAATTAGCTTCAGCTATGTCGTAACCTTGCTGTTTCTCTGTAGGAAATGAGAGAAAACCTTTCAAGAAGAACAAAAACAAAATCGAAACCAAGCAGGGAAGATATATATCCCGGATCAAGCTAATAATTCGGACCGGGGCGCGGACTCCCGGCTGTTTTCTTGTTGACGAGACCGGCGAAGAAGCTCGCAAGAGCTTGATTCTGCATTTTGTCGTCGCCGGTCCCACTTCCTGGAGAAGTTGTAGGTGTTTGGGGTAAAGTATCTTTGCGAACTGGCGTTCGATTCGCTTCTCGTTCCTGTGATGGGAGATGGAGCAGTTAGCCAAACGGGGGTGTGTTTGGTATCCATGCCTGGAGGGGATAATAGTTTTTTACCTTCAGCTTTCTCAACATATCATCTGCATCAACTTGAATGCCTCCCATATTAAACTGCACGGGTCCAATGTGTTCATTCACACGAGAGGGCTCGTCTAGAGAGATGTTATTTTCCTGATCCTTAAGCAAGCCTCCCTTGCGCAACTGCTTGTCTCGCTGCTCGTCTTCAGCTTTGAGCTGATCAAGAACCTGGAGTTGGTCGGATAAAAAGGATTGCATATCCCGCGTTTCAACTTCGATCGCCTTGTCCCCTCCGGGCTGGGAACTTCGGGCAATGGATAGGTCCCGCTTAGGATCTCGGATGGTTTGTTCGTAGATAAGCGTGGCGCTGCTGCCGTCTTCCATAGCCTCTTGCTCAGGATTGCTTCTAGCGTTTCCTTCATCGGGATTACCATCAGTCTCGGATACTCCGTGGAATTGTTTGGGCTTATCCTGAATCTCGATGGACCAGCCTGTCCCAACTCCTTCCATATCAAACCCTTCTCTGATTATTCGGATTTTCCCCCATGAGTCCCAGTTCGACGGGATTAATATCTTATCTCTATCAATGACATTGTGTTTCAGAGATTGTCTCTTTAGTAACGAGTGAATCCCAAGAGAGGAGTGGATTAAGCTTTGTAACGAGTTGGCAAGGAATGGTGTTGTGTATATGAGCGAGGCGCCGTCTATAAGGCGTAGGATGGTCAGCATGTAGGTGAGTTGAGAGCTGAAGGAAAGCCATACGTTTTAGCAGGATCGTTCTCATAAACTGCAGAATAAAGTCGAACTCTTCCTCATGCCAGCCATGCTCTTTTTCCAGCTTTTCAATTTTTTCTGCCTACAGTCACATAATAGTGTTAGCAGCCCCCTGAATTCAAGTGAGTGGAAAAAGAATCGTCCAAAATTTCACATACGCCTTGACAAACAACACACATAGGGATCCCTAATCCTTCATCCCACTCTCCAGGACCAAGAGGGATTGTAACCGGTCCACCAGAGGTTGTCATTCCCCCGCCTGCTGAAGATGCAGGATCACCACCTCGTTTATGATCTCGCCATTCTGTCATAACTTCTTCCATTACCACTTTAGTTTCATCATCGAGGGAGATCAGCACAGAACGTAATAGGCGAAGCCATTCGCGTAGCTGCCGAACCCATGTCCAAGGATTTTCCCAGTCCAGTAATATCACTATCAGCGTCTCTGGTACAGTTTTCGGGGTTAGAAGCGGTTTGAGAAGTGGTGCGAAGGACGACGAAGGTTCGGACAGTAGGTAGATTGAAACGCGAGCAAGAATATCTATGACAGGGTGTTAGTAAAATAACATACCCAACTGCGCAGATATGGTTGGCATTATATACCTTCTTGGTCGGCATCCAACACATCCTGATAAGTGTACCCGAGCGCGAACTGATTGGCAATGGGAGGCGCTCGTCCATTTCGACGCTCAGAGTGCATCCTAGGGTCGGACTCGTCTGATGACAGCGTCTCAAGAAACTCTCTCTGGCTATCCGGTGTACCTCCTAAAGCGTCCAACCTGGATCAGAAAGGAACGAAGTAGTTTGTTTTCATGATCCATGAGGCCTCCATTCATAACGTTTCCTTTTGAAGATACAGAGAGAAGTTCAAAGGCAGAGAAAACACGCACCCAAAACCAGTAAATTCTTTTCAGGCAACCGCTTCCCGCTTGCTACTCCATCCAGCATAGAGGACCATATATTTTTCTTTGCGCCATCTTTGCTCGATGGCCTGCTCCCCTGGCTCAGAATTGATGACCGTTGTCCTATTCCAACCATGCTGACGGCACCATGCCAACGCTTCGTAGGTACAGTGAGGAAGGAAACCAAAGATTCGCGGGAGCTTGAACTAATACAAAATCGCACTGGTTCGAGAAATTATAAGTTGTGAGAAACTCTAGTTGCAACGGCACCGAAAAGGGAGAAGTACAAAGCTGGAGGGCGCAGGTGATGAAACTGCTAGATTGATCGATTCTTCATGTGCGTAATCCGTAAATATTATACTGCCTCTCAGATGATACTGGCGCGTACAGAATGTATAATCGCAAGTTGTCTTCAAGCGGATCGATTGGTCGTTGAAATAAATAAACAAACTGAAGGTTCAAGGTTCCCCTGGTTCATCGTTTGTCCACTCTGACCTGATGTCACGCGTTTTTGCTCGCCGCATCCATCAACCATTCTTCTCCAACCTCCGAAAGCCAAAAACTCCACCCTACGACGACGACGCTACTACGCCATTTACGCAATCAATCTTTTCTACGAACCTAGAGTGGTAGAAGTCATTAGAAGATTAATAAGAGTTGTTATTCAGCACGCTGGTCAATTGGTCCCCATCTATTCCAAACCCAATGAATGCCATCCGCCAGGTTCAAGAGCTGAACAAAAAGGAGCTTGAAAATGTCGTGTAAGGCCTCTCTTTTCTTTTCTTTCCTTTCGTTGTTTTTTTGTTTCGTGTGGCCCTTCATCTCCACTATTTAGCATACGATTTAGTCGAAGTATACGAACTCTCCTGGCTAATGAATCTCCTTTTTCCCTACGTTTAAAATCATAGGCCTCCAGAAGCTTCATGGCATGCCGACTACCGCGACACAGCCTACATCTATATCGGGTCCCTCCCTTACGACCTCAGCGAAGGTGATATCCTAACTATTTTCTCCCAATATGGCGAGCCGGTACATCTTAACTTAGTGCGCGACAAAGAGACGGGCAAGAGTAAAGGGTTCGCATTTCTGAAATATGAGGACCAGCGGAGTACCGATTTGGCTGTGGATAATTTGGGCGGGGCGACGGTTCTAGGCAGAATGATACGAGTGGACCATGTGAGGTATAAGAGGAAGGAGGAGGAGGGGTTGGAAGACAATGTTGCAACGTTGACCGTTGGTGAGACGGGACTTGGAGAGTCAAGAAGAGACGATAACGGTGAAGAAGGGCGCAGAAGGAGAACTACGAAACATAGCGAAAGTGATACTGATGCGGAAGATCGGAGGATACAACAAAAGCCATTATTGAAGGAGGAGAAGGAGCTACAGAAGCTTATAGAAGAGCATGATGATGAAGACCCAATGAAGGAATATCTAATACAGGAGAAAAGGGAAGAGGTAGCTAGGGCTTTGGAGCACTCAAGCAACCGAAAGAAACGCCGGGGTGATAGCACTGAGAGAGAAGACAAACATGACCATCGCCGCCGTCACCACCGCTCTCATCATCGAAGACATCGGGATGATCGTTCATATTCCCGGGAGGAAGGGAGAAAGTCCTCACGACGCGAGAGGTCAAGGTCACCATCACAGTCGAGAGAACGAAGACACCATCGGGATAGAGTTCGCGGCTGAGATGACCATTTTGGAGCTGGAGACGAGATTGTTGCGTGAAAATAACCTACAGAAAGATTTTCTCTTCGGTGTCCGATGCGGGAGAAACCCTGATAAATATCCAAATATCCAATTTTGGCTGAAAGGGATCGTACCATTCTCGATCCAACTTGAAAGGTTATCCAGCACCTAGGGCATATCCATGTCCTTCCAGAGCTGGAAGGCCCTTCACGACACTGTTTCGGCTAGATCTCAGATGATGCGATATACCCAAGAAATATATTCTCGGTTCCACGATATGAGGAAAATGTGTGTTGTGATCATCCAGTTTACCAATCGGCCACGTTAAATTTCAACGGAATTGTCATATGAACCCAAAGCGTCCCGTGGATTCCTCGTGAAGAAAGCGGCATTCTGAATAGACCGTAATATGTTCGGCTCCTCAACCACCTCCAAGATACCTTTTCCAACCCTCTCTGACGCAATACCGCTTCCCATCATCACCCTGTCCAATGACGAATCTTTCCCACCTCCCCTCTTTCCCGGCACTTATCACCAGAAGCGTCGTTTCGCTAGTCCATCCAATAACCCCCTTCGATGGTCGTCCAAGCGAGGAGCCCAATGGAGGGAGATATGCAGAACCAAGAGGACCCTCGTCACCAATTTCAAAGTGAGCACTTGCAAACGAATAAGTGTCAGAAAACACTCGAGGGAGCAGAGGGAGCTTCCCTAAAATACCCCATTTCTGATTTGCGCCTTCCACAGGAGGCGTAGCTTTGCGAGCATGCGGAAGATCAAAAATATGCAAGGTAGATTTATCTGACGTGAGTGCCAGAAGTGTGTTTGAGGGGGATATGGCCAAGGAAAATATTTCCGCCTGATCTACGCCTCGCCTGAGCTCAGCCATCTTTGCGCAATTTGTTGTGGCAAATACTCGAATCAGCGTTCCCTGCGTTTTAAAACTGAATTTAGTTTTCATTGTTCAAGACTATCTTCTCCCCCCTCAAAACTTAATAGTTCTCGAGGGATGATTATGTTTACTTACCGTCTCTCCCGCTGTCGCCAAAACCTCACCGTTGGGACTAAGGTGGATAGCTCTCAATGGCGAGCTATGCGCCGGAATGATACTAACATTCCCCGTCTCAAGTTCGACAAGCTGGACCTGGCCGGGGGATCTTCCAGGGAAAGCCAGCAATTTGGACCCTAGACAGATCAGGCCATGGGGGTTATCTGCGGTTTCGAAGACAGATAACTTCTGCGGGGGTATTGAGAAGGCAAAGATGTGTACACTGTTATGGAGCGCAGCGATGATCCGGGACTTGGAGAGCCGGACGCGCAGGACGGAAGTGCGGAACTCGAGCGTGATGACTGCCCGCTGCTTTGCGTCGTCCCAGATAATCAACTTTGTAATAAGGGTGAAACGAATTAATATATTAGGTTGAATTTTATTTTTCTGTTTCGAAATTTTATTTTTCATTTTTTTTCCTTTTTGAAGATGGTACCAAAAATCCAAAATCAACAGGATTTAACTGGGGACAAAGACTGGGTAAGATACTCACTTTGTTCTGGGGGAACTTGGGCTTCCGGCCTCCACCCACCAGAGCTAGATAATTAGATTGGCCCAGCATCTCTACCACCCCGATACCTGCGTTGAAATCTACTGTTATTGAGTATTGGTACTTGTTTATTTATGACACAATAGAGGAAAGTACTCAATAATACAAGTGAAAACGTGGAGAATAAAAAATATGTCACAAGCGTCCACCAGAGCAGCACGACGGAGAACCGGACCAGGATGAATAGATATAGATACATGTATAGAAAAGTATCTCACCTCTTGATACTTTGAGTTCACATGGCTCCGAGTTAAAAACTGTGTAAAATATGTGCATGTACATAGTTGTTAGTGTACAGGGGATATCTGACGGATACGCATAGTACGAGACTCGGGGAAGGATGATCGATCGTCAGAAGCTGGGGGAGCATACCACAGAAGCCGGTATCGAGTCCGACAGAAAACGAGGAGCTGTCCGTGTTAAAAGCGGCCGAGTGTGACACTGGGCCCGTAGATGTATCTATAACTTGTCTGGTATTCATCCTGCAAAATATATAGGTTGTAGGTAGCAATTATGCTGGCTGATAATGTTAAGAAAGTGGTGGTTGTGGTCATGTCATTATCGAGGACGGGGATTCAACGCAACTATAAGAAATAAGAAAAAGTAGAACGAGGAAAACCGGTGTAAATATTAAGTACGATAAGATCTGTAGCATGTAATCGAGGACAAAAGAAGATTCGTGAAGGTATTTAATATTTTTAAAAATAGAAATTATCTACAAATGTCGCCTTCATATATGCGGCGGTTGAATGTTATCGTCCAAGCTTCCCGCAGGCAAGCTCCGAATCGAAACGATCTGGCGGCTGAAATCACGTGTAAATCATTATGTCATCACGCGATACACAGTAATGGAATGGTCAAACAAATATTGACTAGCCCAATTTAGACTAGACTTCCAAATGGGTACTAGCGGATTGGAGTCTGTATCCAAAAATACGCCAACATTAAACATGGAACCGGGCTGCTGGTACGGTACCTGGGTATCATTGAATGTTTCACGGCCATCGTTCTTGTCCTGCCCTGGCCCCATATGCCGGGGTTACTGATTGGGTTTTATCGAAAAGAAGCCACCTATAGGTAATTTATCCAGGTACCGCCCGTAGGCTGCTGTTGGGCTGGCAGGTCAGGCAGCCTACCTTCGGGAGCTTCGACGGTCTACTCCGTACTCCTGAACTGTGTATATGTTCAGCAGGAAATTTGCCTGGGGAAAAAATACGCTATGTATTCTATCAGATGATCTATATCACGTGCTGGGGGACTTTGTTTCCTCCGATTGGTTAATATCGGTGAGATGAAAAGGGGGAAGAACCATAATTACCCACATCGTAACTGTAACTGTACATTGGTACCAGGAACCATCCAACAGCTACTGACTAGCCGTGGTAAAAACAATACACAAATACCAGCCAGCGCGACACCAAGGCACAGAGCCCCTTAACTAGGTCATTTACCACTAGTGTACTGGGAATACACATTTACAGTCGTCAATGGGTGGTACTTGGCGGTAAGCAGCGTACTGGGGCGGTAAGCATGCCCCAGCTCTGCCCCCAAGCCCAAAAACACTCGCTTCTGAAAACAGGCACGCCCCCTACTGCTTCAAGTAACCATCTCGACTTCAACCCTTTTGTTCAGTGACATCTGTGTCCCAATCCTCCCGTTTCGTCGTTCTCCCATTCTCTCGCTCTCCTGTCTCTGCCCCTGTCTCTGCTGCGTGTCCATTCTCTCCCTTTTACTTCTTTTCTCCTGATCTTCTCGCCTTGCTGGAGATCCGGTCCCCTCACTGTCTCCCAACCAAACCCCCCGTTACACCGTCCCCTTCGAAATCACCAGCAACCTAATCCACCATGTCTTCTGCTGTCAACGCTGTAAGTCTCTATCTCTTCCACTTTCCCCTATTCAAGAGCTGTTTATTCTCTGTCACCTACGTCTGCCTGGCGTGTTCTCTACTGCGCTACTTTCCGCCCCCAATTTGTCGTGACCATGCTGCGATCTGACAGGCGATATGACCAGATTAAGATCCGTCGGAAGAAGAATGTTAAAAAGGGAATTCAATTCTGTCTGATGGTCTGCGGTGCCAGTGGAACAGGTACGTTGAACTAAGTTCACCTCTACGTGTTTTCTTTTTACAGTGATTATGGCTAACTTCCATATGCTGATCCTACTAGGCCGAACCACTTTTGTAAACACACTTTGCGGAAAGAAAGTTCTCCAAGGGAAAGATGCCGACGACGCCCAAAATGCCCACCTCGAGGAAGGCGTCCGTATCAAACCCATCACCGTTGGTAAGTGACGATAGAAATATGTGTTTGATCCATGACAATTGGGCTCCTTCCAAAGCTAATTGGTTAATATAGAACTCGAACTGGACGAGGAGGGCACCCGCATTTCGCTAACCATCGTTGATACCCCCGGTTTTGGTGACCAAATTGACAACGAACAAAGGTGTGATAAGATAGACCTCTCAGTTCGACCTAGCAGCCTTTAGATAACGCGAACTAATCAATGTCTACATAACACAGCTTCTCAGAAATCGTCGGATATCTCGAGCGTCAATATGATGACATCTTGGCTGAAGAATCCAGGATCAAGCGTAACCCCCGATTCCGTGACAATCGTGTGCATGCTTTGTTGTACTTTATCACGCCAACTGGTCACGGTCTGCGAGAACTCGACATTGAATTGATGAAGCGCCTTTCGCCCCGCGTCAACGTCATCCCCGTCATTGGCAAGGCTGACTCGCTAACACCCGCTGAATTAGCAGAATCGAAAAAGCTTGTTATGGAGGATATTGAACACTACCGCATCCCTGTGTACAATTTCCCCTATGACATTGAAGAGGATGATGAAGATACCGTCGAGGAGAACGCTGAGCTTCGAGGGCTCATGCCCTTTGCGATTGTTGGCTCAGAGGATGTTCTAGAGATTGGTGGCCGCAAAGTTCGTGCAAGACAATATCCATGGGGTGTGGTCGAGGTTGATAATCCTCGTCACTCAGATTTCTTGGCCATTCGCAGTGCTCTGTTGCACAGCCATCTTGCAGACTTGAAAGAAATCACACACGACTTCCTGTACGAGAACTATCGTACCGAGAAACTCAGCAAGAGCGTGGAGGGTGGCGCTGGAACGTACGTTTATCCTTCTATGCATTTATTTTTGTCCCTTTCAATAGCTCGCTAACAAACTCCTACAGTAACCAAGATTCATCCATGAACCCTGAAGACCTTGCGTCTCAGTCCGTCCGCCTAAAGGAGGAGCAGCTTCGCCGAGAGGAGGAGAAACTCCGAGAGATCGAGATCAAGGTGCAACGCGAGATTGAGCTTAAGCGACAGGAACTCCTTGCTCGTGAGAGTCAATTGAAGGAGATTGAAGCACGGATGCAACGCGAGCACCACAACCACATGCACCAGGATGAATTGAACGGCGAGGTCAACGCATAATAGGGTGGGATGGGGATACAAGTCAACGGCAACCGAAGACCCAACCAAAGCGATGTGTGCTGAGTGGCTAGCGATTTGATACCGCTGATAATGAGGCCTTTCCTAACATAGCGATGGCAACTGCAGATGAGCGCGACCAAAACATCTCTGATAGTAGAAAGGAGGAGAGACCAAGAGAAGAAATAGTCTCCTTATGAAACCCTCTTCTCGGGTTTTAGTGCTTTGGCTTGGTTGGGGCTCATTATTTTTTATTTTCTCCACTACACTTCTACCTCTAATTTCACAACACATTCGTTTCCGCTGACCCTGGCCCTATCAATTTTTGCCCATCGAACCCGGCAAACAAGCTGAAAAATATAAAAAATAGTTTGGGGAAAAGCTGATATACTTTCGCCTACCAGATATCACACCTTTTGTTCCTCTCTTAATCCGCTCCCCTGGGTATTCTTGCCGGCGCTTGTTCTTTCCTTCACATTTCTTTTTCTTTCTTTCTTTCTCTCTGTCCTTTTTTTTTTTTTAATCCGTACCTTATCTTCTTATGCTGTCTTTTTTACAGAGATTTTCTTTTCTTCTTTTCTATTGTCCCCTTACCCTTACCCAGCTCTACTATTTGCTCCTTTTTTATCTCGCTCTGAATACAGATACTGAATGACTATTCCCATATTAGCCTTTCTTTTTACTCGCGTTTATTTTTTCTCTCTATTTTTTCTTTGTTTTTACCATGTTCTTTTCCTTATATTTTTCCGTTTTATTGATTTATTTTTTACCTTTTCTTATTTGCTGTACCTCATTTGGTTTATTTTCCTTCCCAACTTGAAAGAGAGGGAAGGGGTGAAAGGGGGTGACGTGAAGGGGTGAGGGCGAAATAGCAGAGTTAGCACGCTTTTAATATTCGAATTGTATTGTCGGTTTGTTTTTTTCCTTTTGCTTTACCTTGCTACATTTCCTATGTTTGTCTAACTCTTTACATTACCCTAAGCGCTTCTCATTGGTTGTTCTTTTGCTTGATGTCCAATCCCCCATACCAAACCCCTATTTCTCGACCTGGTCAGGCAGGCATCTTTTGACCTCCCGCTCTTTTGCTTCATTTCCTTTCTCTCATTTCCCCCCTTACTTTTATCCCTTCCAGCTCATTTACCAGGTATTCACCTCTCCTCATGCCATGCCAAGCCCTTTCGAGAAACTCGACAATGTCCCCCTGCTACCCCTTTTTTGTTTTATATACAATAATACCCCCCAATATTCAAAAAGCTACTCCCGCAATATATCTATCAACTAACCTGTAGCGCCACTATCAATCCTCTTTAGCTGCTGTCACTAGTCCTGGCCGACTTTTATTCTCATCTAGCCAGCCAAATCGCAATCAAGACAGTCTACTATTATACTCCTCACCCTATCGCTACTAGGTTCTCTTACTATTTCTTTTCAGATATACTTCCCCGCTGGCGTTTCCTCGGTGTCTCAGGGATGAATAGTAGCAAGAATTGAATAAACTTTGTTTTGTGGTCTATTCTATATAGAAAAGTTGTTCTAATCGACGAGGTGCCATGTACTTGTCTATGAAACCTCTTCCTTATTTTCCCCCACATTCAGTTTCTTTTAGGGATCGTGGTATTTCCCAGCAACTTCGGCCTCGGTAGCTCTACATATAGAGTATCTCCTTCCCCTCCATTTCAGAGGGGGTATAGAGTATATAAGTCTATATCTTATGAAAAGAGCGTGTAGCTTCCCCCCGTCGCCCCACCATGAAAGTAGCTCAACTCATACTCAACCTAATTAATTTCTTCTACCCCTCTTCTTCCCGAAACTGCCCCACGGCAAATAGTTAGTTGCTTTGACCCATAGGAATCTAAAGCGCAATCCAAAAAGACACCGTAGCCGCCTTGGCTTCCATCCATTATTCTACCCATGAACCTGGTACCTAGGCATAGATAGTAGGTGGGAAAGGAGGGGTAGTCCCACTCGGAGCAACATCTTTGTCAAACCTGTTTCAACCTCTCATGCACGGTCAGCCGGGGGAGATTCTTGCGGAGAAAATTTATTGGCCTGTTGTGCTTCCATGCAGCTGCGTCGGTGTAGTTATTATGACATAATCGCGGCAACAAAAAAGAGCGTCACCCATTTCTTCCCTTGATTTAAATATCCTGCTCTAAGTTTGAATATACCCATTATGACGTCTTCTATGCAGGAGTATCCACGGCCAGATTTCACCCGTCCGGACATCAACTGGAAATCACTCAATGGTCCTTGGAGTTTCCTCTACGATGATGATGACGTCGGCTTACAAGATGGATGGCACCGGCGAGGTCTCCCTGGGCAAATTGCTGTGACCGCCGGACAGGACAGCGGCGCGGGGAAAACTTTACAAAAGAGGGAGATTATAGTACCCTACGTCTTCCAAACCCCTGCATCTGGTATCGGGGAGCGCGAGCCCCATGAAGTCATTTGGTATGAACGATTAGTCGATGACATTCGCCCGCCAGCAGAGCTTGACAAACGTTTCAGCCTGCTGCTCCGATTCGGTGCAGTCGACTATGAAGCTACGATCTGGCTTGATGGCCAGTATGTTGGTGAGCATAGAGGCGGACATGTGCCTTTTGATCTGGACCTGAGTGAGTTCGTCAAAGCTCAGCAACAGTCCGCAAGGGTGACTATTCGCGTTCGCGACTCTCCATATGACCTAACTCAGCCCAGAGGCAAGCAGTACTGGGCTGGGAAACCCCAGGGAATTTGGTACACACCCTCTAGCGGTATTTGGCAGTCTGTATGGCTGGAGAGCGTGCCTCGTGCGAGAATCGCGGAGAGTAGCAGTGGAACTGTCCTCAGGTCGAATGACATCCATGGCGGATTGCTTCATGGTACCATTGCTGTAGCTGGTCGGCGAGCTGGACATAAATACCACGTCAAGATTCAGGTTTCCATTGGCGGAGTAGTTGTGGACAGAACTTCGCAGATCTCCATTCCCCAACATTCCAGCGTGGTGGATTGTACCGTTCGTACCAAACTAAGCCGTGAGCAACTTGGCAAGCTCCCTATAAGCCTATTGAACGACTCACCTCTCGAAGATCATACCGCCTGGCTAGATGGGGTTGCCCTGTGGTCCCCCGACCATCCGCTTCTTTATGATGTTGCCTTGTATCTTTTTGATGGTGAAGGAACGCTTTTGGACGAAGTCAGGATGACAACGGGTATGCGAGAGCTAAATTGGACCACCGGTGACAACACGTTTAGGCTCAATGGTCACCCACTCTTCCAATCGCTAGTGTTAGATCAGGGATATTGGCCGGAAACTGGGATGACACCGCCGTCTGCAGAGGCGCTCAAGCAGGACATTGAATTGGCTCAGAGCATGGGCTTCAATGGCTGTCGGAAGCACCAAAAAGTGGAGGATCCGCGCTTCTTGTACTTTGCGGATCGGCTTGGTTTTCTCGTTTGGGGGGAGATGGCAAACGCGTACGAGTTTAACGATACATATGTGGATCGGTTCGACGAAGAATGGATGGCGGCAGTGAAACGCGATATCAACCACCCTAGCATTGTCACCTGGACTCCGATCAATGAATCCTGGGGTTACCCTGAGCTTAAGAATAGCGTACAGCAACAGAACCATATCCACAGCCTTTACTACATGACGAAGTGTGTCGAATTCCTTCTGGATAATCCCTCCTCGTTTGGTATTTATTTTGCTAAGTTTTCCTAACCAAAAAAAAAAACATTCAGATCCTTGGATCCGACCCGAAGCGTCAATGACAACTGCGGCTGGGAGCATGTCTGCAGCGACTTAACTACATTCCATGATTACAGCGACGGACCCGCGCTGGCAAACATCTGCAAGACTATGGAAGGTATACTCGATAAGAAAGGGGGCCGCCATACATTTGTGGGCGGAAGCAGACACCGAAAAGGGGCGCCAGTTATGTGTACGGAACTCGGCGGCGTAAACATCGCACCCAGCAACCCCAATGCAAAAGGCGAGGGTGATTGGGGCTATACTACTGCAAGCGATCCCGCAGACCTGCTTGCTAGGCTGGAAAGGCTCTTGATGGGCGTCGTCAGCGGTGGCCATTGCTGTGGGTTTGTGTACACTCAAATGTAAGTATTTGGTCCTAGGTTCCGCTGTAAACTATGATGAGCTAAGTGGAAGACTCGAATGGGGGTATACGAATATTTGTGCGCACATTGCAAAAACGTAAGCTGACTAGTTCATCTACGAAAAAAAAAAGTGTCGATGTTGAACAGGAAGTCAACGGATTGTACAGTTTTGATCGGAAGGCTAAGCTGAAGCCGGAGCTTGTCAAGGACATCAACGACCGGGCGAAGAAGGTGTATTTTGAGTCAATAGATTCCAAGGGGCTAAGTAAGCGCTTGCGAACTTTCAAGCATATGGTCCAGGGCAAGGGGTAAACAGAAAGCGTACTTTCGGGGAGGCTCACCAAATCTAATTTTATAGTGCATGTCATAATCGTAGCAAGCTGCTGGGTTCGGCTGGAATTACGGTTCTGAAAAATAGTAAAAGCTGAAGCAGAGCATGGCTTTTTTGCCTATGGCAAAGAGTATTCATCAATTTTCCAGCAGATTTAACGGGTCACACTTGATATCATCCTTTTCTTCTTCTGCAAAAGTCAAAAAGTAGGCTGAACAGGGAGAGATGATTGTGAAGAATGAGAAAGAAATGATATATGATCATCAATCACATGTACATGTACATGCACTTCATCTAGGAAGACACTTACTTGGGGTCCCTTGACGTCCACAATTTACCCGGTTTATTGTCACGCCGTTGGAAATATAGCCCTCCTATCTTCAAGTAGCTATATATCTACATGTACAGTACTTACAAATTCTATGAGATAAAATAAATTAAGAAAATTAAGCAAAGTATCGCCAGGGAGGTTTCATTTTCATCCACAGACCTTACCTAACTTGGTAGCTCATAAATGCACTTTTATGAATGCGTACCTAGCTAACTATAGCTATTTTCCTCGAGAATAATAATTCGTGTGGTGGATCTACAAAACTACTTGAACCCTCGGGATAGGATGTTGATTAAATGAAACATCATTCAACAATGGTAAGGCGCAGCAGCAGCAGCAGTAGATCTTAAGAAGTTAGTAGCATGAAAAATAAAAATAGATCATTGATAGCTTAAAGGAAACAGATGGGGAAGACAAAAAGACGCAATTCCCAGAGGGAAGAAAAAAAAAGGGAAAAAAAACCAATCCAATAGGAATACTAAATAAAGAATAACTTAGTTTTAAATATAAAAAAAGTCTCAAAGTCATACTCATCAAGAGTTGAATCAGATCAATGGAATATAAAAAATTTCTGATTTAGTGGAAACCTCGAAGCAATCAAAAAGAAAGAGAAAAGAAACCAAACGAAAAGCAGCAAATTACTCTCGGAAATTAATAGATGTGCTCACATAACAAACGTGAAATGTACACACGCACACAAACACACAACAGGTATAAAAAAGCAAGCGCGGGGGGAACACGGCCAAAACAAAATAAAATGGGGGACGAGCGGGAAAAAAAAAGGTTGGTTGACTTCATGAGATAGGTACTCTTTGATAAGGTAAAGTAAAAATTGCTCCAGTGGGTAAAGGGGACAGGATGTGGGAAGTAACAGTCGAAGATAAATATGATAAAAAAAGGGGGGGGACAAGTGGTAGAATAAGATTATAAGGGAGCTGGATAAAAAGGAACATAAAAAGTGAAGAACCAAAGAGCGCGAAGAGAAATGAGAAGGAAATTAATAATAACAAAAAAAAAAAAAAAAAAAAAAGGCGGGGGAAAATAAAACAAGCTGGATTGAAAGGGAAGAATGTGGGACGAAGACAAATTTAATGGTATGAATTGACGACGACGGGGAGGAAGTAAGGAGTAGCAACAAGAAATAGAATAGAAGTCAAGAAGTAACGTGGGTATTCTCGCCAATGGTTGTACGTGTAATTCTGCGTGGGAAGGGAGAAACAAAGAATGCGTACATAGGACCTCTATCAAAAATAAATAGGACGACAAGATAGTTTGGAAAATGTTTGTGGACCAAAGCTTGAACGAAATGTTCGTCGAAGATCATCTGGGGCAGACAGGCGGGCAAGAAAAAGTATCTAAAAAAAGCCAACTTTTTTTTGTGTTTTGTTTTGGTGATTGTTTTCTCTTCTTACTTTCTAGGTTTCCTCCCCCGTTCATGACAGCTTATGCGGGCTTGTTCCAGAAGTCCAGGCTAGCCACTACATCTTCGCCCGCTTCGTCTTCATATGCATAAATAATCTGAGAAAATGTGCGTTAGCCAAATGGGTATCCTATACGAGGAAAAAAAAAAAAAAAAAAAAAAAAAAGAACCGTAGACATACCTCTCTCGTAGATGAATGCAACATCCGAATATTTCGTCCCGTCATGACATGGATTAGCTCACTGCTCTCAATGTGCCTGATTTCAATAAAGCTTGATTCGAAGGCGAGAATGTACGGGTACGATAACGCGAATGCCACCGGGTTCCCTTCCCAAGCTATTCTCCAGTCCGGTTGAGCTCTCCAGCCGTTGCGGTTGACAAAGAAGGAGAAGTCACTATAGTTGAGGAGGAACTCGCCGTTCATCCGTTCGATGTGGATGGGTTTTACGTTCTCTTTCCTAGCGACGAAATCGAGGGACGTATCTGCTTGGTCTAGGAGTGATTGTCTTTCAGTGGTTTCGAGACTGACAACCTCGAAGCCACGAGAACAACCAACACAGAGCGTTGCTCGCAAGAAATGGACGGATGAAGATTCCGCAGGAATGTAAAATTCCTAGGAATAGAAGATTAGCAGGAAAAAATGTGGGAAAAGAATGATATAATATATTGAAATAAAGCTAACCTTGAAGGGTTTGAAGGCATCCTGGCCACTTTGGAACATCTTGCTCAACGGCTTTTTCTTTCCCTTCGCAAGATTCTCCACAGGTTCATACACCTTGATTGTCGTCGACAAGGCAGATGTCTTCACTGAGCAGACGAGGTGTCGCCCGAGCCCAATCCCAGACTTGAAGAAGTTCGTGTGTCCTTGGATTTTCTTTGGCCGACGCACCAACGGGTTCTGATTCTCACTGGTGTCCAGCGCTTCCATCGAATAGGAGCTCAGAGTCTTGTTGGCAAGCACCAAGAGTAACTGGTACTCTTCAAGGGCGTCGATTTGAGTCACACCGCTTGCGTCAAGGACGCGCCGTGGCTTAGCCGACTTGTCCTTTGGCCATCTCTCTGAAATGTATATGCCACTATCGGTGCCGTAGACCAATTTTCGCCCGCCATCTACATAGAATTCACACGAGTTAACAAGGGGATTTCCAAATTATACAAACAAGAAAAAAATGAATGTGCTTACCAATAGGCACCAAACAGTTAACTCGATTAACAGAAGTGAAAAACTTCTCGCAAAGGATGGTCTTTGAGTAAAAGTTGCTATTCCTTTCCCTTAATTTTCGTTGCTGTTCCCCGACAAGCTCGATGAACTTCCTTCGCTGCGTCGAGGAAGTAGCATATAGAGTTTGATCGTAGCCTCCCTTGCCGAGATGTCGGAACGTGATGGAAAAGCCGTCCTTGGAGGAAGTGGGGGTATTGCTGGTAGCCTTGGCACCCGAGATAAGGTTTCCAGAGGGTCGTTTTGCGAGGCCTAGTTTCGGGAGTACTTCTTCCATTTGGGTGATAACGAGAAGTTCAAGAGGGATAGGTTTTCTGTACACCCTGTATTCTTCTCGCTTATTGACTGCCTTAATCCTAACCAATAGAACTGCGTGGTCGAATAGATATGCAGTAACCTCAGCCGAGTCAGTTGGACCTTTTTTGAAAGCCATCTTGGTCAACATCACTCGATTTTCCTCGGTGAGCTTCAAGTCAACATAGTCTCCAGGCGAAAATTTCAAGGCCATATTCAGTTGCACCAAGTTGAAATGGTTCTCAGCTTTTCCACTCTCCGTGTTGACGCGGGAGAGGAAATCTCGAATAATAGCAATAGCTTTGGGGATATCTTTTTTGTCGGGATTATCATCCGCAGTGTTCTTCACAACTTGTTCCAAAAGCAGCGGATATCTTGCCAATCGAGTCGTAGGTTTGGTGAGGTACCCATTCAACTCGAGCTTTCTTGACTCCTTGAGACGTTCAGTCTCGTCAACGAACTTGGAAAATGCGGGATTCGATGCTCGTTCCTTTTCAAACTCGTATTTTCCGTACAGCTGATTAGCACCATATTTGATGAAGGGATCGAAACGTGGTACAAATTGGAGAAAAATGTCTCCAACTGTCTTCACTATAATGGACTCCTTCTGTCTAGCATTCAGAGCTTCGCTCAATCTAGAGTTAACAGCCAAGACCTCCAAACAGTTTGAAAATACTGTTCGAATGAATTTTTCCCGGCGGTGTTCCGGAACCGGGGAAAGGTTAGTATTGTTGGCAGACCGCAAGGGCCTCATCCAGAAATCTCTCAAGTATTCCAAGTCTTTAACGAAATCACGTTCAGTATACATGATCTCGAAGATGACCTCCTGACGCTTCTTCTCCCGGTCATCAATGCTGTCAGCAACCTCTTTGGGAACCATATTGATCCAGAGTTTCTGGTCATCGTTGTCATCCTTGTCATGCAAGCTTCCCTTGGACGCGGAGGATCTTAATCCAGGCTGAGGTTTAAGGTTCAACCGTGCCTGCTGCTCAAGTCGCCTTGGGCAGGCAATGGAATAGCATAATTTATCCCTCGTACATGTTGGAGAGTAGCACTCTGTAAGTAGGGTAAAGACGCCGTTGACCTCGGAAACTGGATCTTCTTCGCCCATTGTTTCCTTAAACTGGTATAACTCTCCTGGAGCGTCTCTTAGCCGATGGTCGTAAGTGACATCGTGGAAGAATTTTTGAGCGTCCAACGCACGGCCAAGCAGCAAGGCCAAATTGCGGTCAGACGTTTTGATAATGTAGGATATCAAATCGACCGCTTCCGCCCCGGTGAAAGCGTTAGTGTATGCTAGATCATTTTTAAGCCGTTCTCCAACCGAGATCCTTTCTCTGAACACAGTAGCCACCCGGGAAAGCAAAGCAGGATAGACGAGAGGAGATCTACGATTATGATGTGGTGTGGGATGTGGTTGACTCGCCGGCTTAGGCACGACGGAGTTGCCAGGTTGTAGGCTAGTAGTTCGTTCCGGGGTGACAGTGGATGCCATGGAAAATGTGCGAGAGTTGATCGATGTTTCACTCGGGCGTCTTATTCTAGCATGCGGATCTTGTCCATGAATCATCGGAGGAATAGGCTGTTCTAAAATGGGTTGCCCTGCAAGTGGTGGCTCTATCCGCTCTCTTTCCATACCCGACTCTCGACGCCTACTTGGAACAATCCGTCCTGAGTTGATAGTCTGGGCATGATCGAAGTTGGACGTATAAGAACTCATGGACATGGAGCGTTCGTCGTCACGCCTTTCCGGAACAACCCGGCCTTGTGGAGTCATGGAACCTGGGTGGTGGTATGGCTGTTGTCGAAACGCGTTTGCCGACGTATGGTTGAAGTTACTCGGGGGAGAAGGTTGATGATACATAGGGGGGCCACCCATTCGAGCCAAGGAACGAGATCTGTATTGATCCGAGTTCAGTGCTGGGGGGGGAAGAGGCCTGCCAGGAACTTTGTTTGGGTAAGGTGGTTGCATTGGGCTGGGCCTTGAGTCCAGGCGTTGGGGCTGAGGGTATTGGGGGCGGCCCGGGTAAGGGCGAGGAAGGTTCTGAGGCGGTGGTTGAGAATGATGATAAGGCCCATTTGGCTGCCACTGTGGAGGAGGGCGGTGGTTGTTATATTCATTTGGGGGAGGTCCGTATCCGTTGGCAGACTGACGCATATGTGACGGCGGCGCCGGCGAAGGAGCGACTCGAGGATGCATATAGGGATCGCCCGCCGTATGAGAGGACATGGTGCGTGCGCGGTCTTGAACGAAGGGAGGAGTTTGCGAAGTCATTGTCTGCGCACGGCCAGTCGGGGTCGCGCCGAAAATCTCTGAGTAAGCGGCGTCTCGCTGAAAAGAGGACGCATGCCCATACTGGGGGGGTGGTCGGTAATTGCGACCTTGCTGAGCACCTAAATCCGCCATGATCGAAGTACTACCAATACCTGGTACCCTAAGCGAGGGATGCAACAGACACGGCTATGACAGAGACAATGACAACAGAGAAAGAGAGAGCCAAGGAACGGATAGTACGGTACGGGGGAACGATTAAATTTGGGTATATTGCGTTTGACACGGTAATCGGTTTAGGTTGAGGGAGTCTCTCCCAGGTCATATACCGGAGTTAGACAGAGATCGAAGAAAGAATCTATAGATATTACTTTGGGTGGTTTGGGGGGTGGCAAGCGGCGGAGATGAGGGAGATGAGGAAGGGTGGGACGCAACAATCGCAGCGAAGAACCGAGAGGGTCATAGCCCACACACCCTCATGGCTGGCTGGCGAACAGTGGAGGTGAAAGAATGACGCGGCTCACAGAGCAATTACTAGAGATCCAACACAGCGACAGGAGAGGGTAGAGGGGCGGGGAGGGGGAGGGGGAGGAAGATATGCGAAGTCACCGGCCTCGAGGGAGTGAGGAGGAGGATGGGAAGTGGAACGGATGATGGAGTGTCGTCGACGGGGCAGATGGTTAGGTACGTGCAGTTAGGCCCGCCAAGCCTCGCCCGCCAAGCCCAACCTTGGAAGCCACCCGCATTAGACTCGATTAGGCGTTGAAAGATTACGGTATGGGTATTTTCATTACTCTACGGTACAGCCACAGTGGGCGCTGTTTTCCGCCGTACATAGAGCTATTGTATGTACACGGCTTGAGACAACTTGTGCTACAGCGTATGTCATATCATATCCCTCTACAACAACCCCAGCATATTCTCTTTTCTTTAACATATACCAGAACCGCCATAAGAATCTCGCGTTTTTTTTCTTGTTTTCATACAAGAGCCCATTCGCTCCTCTAGCCTAGTAGTACCCAGTGCTATCCAATCTACGACTCAAAATGGCGGATAGTGAACTGGCACCCAAGTTTGCGCCCTTCTTCGGAATGGTAAGTTATATCTATCTATATCATTTATGCCCATACGGCCATTGGCGTAATATCTACTGTTCCAGCTAACCCATTCTCCCCATATATAGGCAGGCATCGCTTCGGCTGTGAGTTGCTCTCCACCCACCTTTTCGACCCTTCCCCGCGATAATAGCTGACGATAACTTTCTCAGATGATATTTGGATGTACGTTTGTTACGACCACAGCCTATCGGATACCCCATTCGCACGCACGAGCAAAAGTTCACACAAAACTCATACACATCTACAGCACTAGGAGCAGCATATGGAACCGCCAAATCCGGCATTGGCATCGCCGGTGTCGGAACCTTTCGATCAGATCTGATTATGAAGGCAGGTCTTACCTATGATACATATTTCGATTTTTGGTCGGGCATGTTACGTCCATTCTTATACTGACAGATGAGGTGTGGGGCAGTCATTAATTCCCGTGGTCATGGCGGGTATCATCGCGGTTTACGGCTTGGTCATTGCAGTGCTTATAGCAGGCGACCTGGGCCCTCCACCCCAAAAGACCTACAGTTTATACACGTACGCCGCACACTTACAATATATATCCGCTTCATGCTGACCTATTTACTTTTGATAGCGGTTTCATGCACCTCGCAGCGGGATTATCAGTCGGTCTCGCAGGACTTGCGGCTGGCTACACTATTGGCATTGTCGGCGACGTGGTTAGTTATGAAAGTCCCGGGGCGATTATCGCCTCCCTTCCTGAACATAATTGAGTATGATTGTATAATTAACTATCTATCTTTTTTTCTCACAGGGTGTGCGATCTTATATGCAGCAGTCACGCGTGTTCGTGGGGATGGTGTTGATATTGATTTTTGGTGAAGTGTTGGGTTTATACGGGTATGGATAGTTCCCTTCATGCGTATTCCGTTGAACCGTGCTTGATAGCTAACTATTCTGATACAAATAGCTTGATCGTCGCACTGATCTTAAATTCAAAGAGTTAGAGGGATGAAATCATGTATTTTACGCATTTGTTGTATATTTCAGGGATCGGAGCATATTTTTGTTAGCCATTGATTGTCGGGGAATTGCTCTACGATAGCTACTGTTTTGCCACATTTTATAGATACACAACTACTGTCCCGTTTGAGCTGCGCTATAGGGGAACCTTTGTGGTGGGAATCTGGGATATACAAGGTCTATTTCATTTGTCGCCTTTGCCATTGATAGGGAAGGGAATGTCCCGATCTGTTGAAGTTAGATTGGGTTCTTCAACCCCAGCCATTTGCAGATTTGCAGGCATGATTTATTCCTAGCATAATCTGTAGACAATATGACTACAGATGTCTGAACAACCATCTCCAATGATACAAAAATAAGACGTACAGAGGGCATTCCATTACTATCTCTGGTCTTCTAGTTGAACTTGCTCCCAAACCCTATTATGTGTCGGTGTACTATTTTCTACTCTCTGGCCCAGCCGCGGATTCTTGGCACCGGCTGCTCTCGCCGCCTGTCTACGTCAGAACACCCGCAGCAGTGTGTGTCCCGCAACCGGGCAGCTCTATGGATACACCTCACCCTTCTATACGTTCATTCCTCCCAACCTTTAACCTTCCACGTTATGCCCCACCTACATCTCACCTCATATCTCAGTTCGCCCTTGTCCCCTACCGCAGTCCCCCAAGTCAATGGCGGCCCTACCTCCAGCTAGTCCGTTACGCCACTCTTTCCAGCCTCTATCGCCAATTTGAGTTACATGCACTGCCATCGCCCCTCCATCTCCCCTCCCCTGCGCTGCCGGCTCGTTGAAAAGAAGACGAAAACAAAGAAGAGGACGTCAGACTATAGCGGCCAAGGACATGATCTCTCCCTGTTCCTGAGATGGCCGCGGAAATGCTTCATGAGCAGCAGCAGCAGCAGCAGCAGCAGCAGGCGGCCCCGCAAAGGACGCACCAGCAGTCAGATATCGCCATCGACGTAGCCGCCGCCGCCGCCGAAAAGTCCTCGCAGCGCAACATTCTTGAGATTCCGACCAAAAAAACACCACTGCAACCTTGTGTCCCGGGGCCTCCGGCCTCCCGCCCGCGAACCCCGCCGGACATCGTTGAGAATCGGGAGAAGAGTAGACTGGATATACCATCTAGCGCGCTGAGTGTGAATGACTTCGAGCTGCTGAAGACGCTGGGTACAGGTAAGCAGGGAGCGCAGGATTCACATTTTAGCGTTAAAATTAGCATAAGCAATGAGCTTTGGCTTGGTGTAAGGCTGGTGCAGGGTTGGCTTTGGTGGGCAGGTGGACAGTCTGTCTTGTGTCAGGGAAGATAAATATGATAATTAACATACATACATTCGAAATAGGTACATTTGCGCGAGTTTGGCTGGTTCGCCTTCTGAAATATAGAGACCTTGAAAAGAGACCATTTGCGCTTAAGGTTCTTCATAAAGCGGACGGTATGTGCATGTATATTCCTCCACTTCATCACGTATAAGCTGTTTAATTCTTACAATGTGTTCGGCCTTCAGTTATCAAACTGAAACAGGTTGAGCATGTCCGGAATGAGATCAAAACCCTAGCTGCTGTTGCTGGTCACCCTTTCATTACTACCCTAATCGCTACGTTCACCGACGATCTGAGCTTGTATATGTTGGTGCGTTAATTATTTTTACTTCCCCTGTGGCGAATCTGTTGCATTGTACATGTACATACATCTACTTACCAGGTATTCAGCTCGAATATTGCCCAGGCGGAGAGATCTTTACATTCTTACGACGCGCGCGGAGGTTTACTGAGCCGACTGCTCAATTTTACGCTGCAGAAATCGTTTTAATTCTTGAATTTCTCCACGACGTCCATGGTGTCGCCTACCGCGACCTCAAGCCAGAAAACATCCTACTTGACGCAGATGGCCACCTCAAACTCGTTGATTTCGGTTTTGCGAAGGAGATATGGAGCAGGGAAACATACACCCTCTGCGGCACGCCAGAGTACCTAGCTCCAGAGGTCATCCACAACAGCGGCCACGGCCTAGCCGTTGACTGGTGGGCTCTGGGCGTGCTGATATACGAGTTTATAGTTGGACAACCGCCATTCTGGGACCCAAATCCCATGCGCATATATGAGCAGATTGTCGAGGGACGACTACGGTTTCCTGCAAACATGCCCCCAGCTGCGCAGGATATTGTATCCCAACTATGCAAAACCAACCCCTCCGAGCGCCTTGGTCACATACGGGGGGGATCCGCCAGAGTGAAGCAGCATCCGTTTTTTAAGGGGGTTAATTGGGATGATATTTACCACCGGCGAATGAAGGGGCCCATAGTTCCGCGCGTGGATTCACCGACGGATGCGGGCAATTTCGAGGACTACCCAGACCCGCCAGACCCATCGCAGCTTACTCCGTATACGAAGGAGATGAGAGACTCGCATGAGGATATGTTCAAGAATTTCTAATATAGACAATAATTGGACCATTTCGCGGGCGCCGCTCCATACAGCCAGCTGGGGATTTTGGCCAAGCCTGGGTGGTTCCCCGGATTGGTAGATAAACCCTAGATCGCACCCATCGTTTGTTTTCTACCCCTTTCTCCCGATTCCATACTGGAGTACCTGTGGGGAACTACTCATACTCAGATCCATCCTCTACCCTTCCCCTCCCCCTTCTCTCCTCGTCTAATAGTTTGGCCCTCTCTATGCATCCTCGGTTTGCAAATCAGACGTCTAGGATAGATATAAGATATATATCCAACCGTATTCCCTCCCCCCCAACGTCCTAACTGTATAGCTGTCGATACGCCCATGATACTACTACACCATACATAACTTCATTTTTTTATACCCCCTTTACTCTTGGCCTGATTTGGTTCCAAGTTCTTGCAATCCATTATCCCCCGCTCCCCGGACCATGCATACCACGTACCAACCATATATCACCCATCTATCTATGTAACAATCTACCTATACCGATCCATTGAATTATCACCACACACACACACACACACACACCCTTTGTTAATATCCATCATCCCTATCCCCCACGAACCAAGAAATCTACAACCTTTTATTTAACTCAGGCATACCATAATATATAATTTTTTTTTTAAGGGGGGCCGTCCTTACGTCTTATGTCCGCTTTATTTCCATTTCCATTTCCATTTTTCCGCCCCTTTTACTTTTCTATAATTTAGTGGTTGTGCCTAAGGAGGACGGACACTGGCACTGGGGAGGGACCAAAAAGAGCTCGCGTATCATCACCACCAACCAACCAGCACGGTGGACTTCCGGGCTCAGGACTCACTAAACTGGGGGGGTTAGGTAAAGGAGCTGCTGGGCTCGAACCCATCATCGTGGCGAGGAATATATAAACTATATAAACTATATACATATACATATATATATTATGTTATAAGTTATCAGAGGAGAGATTAATATCTACACCGTTGTTCCCGGTTTTCGTTTTCGTCTCGTTCCGTTCAGTTCAGTTCAGTTCCGTTCCGTTCCGTTCCTTCCTCTCCTCCTCCCCCTCCCCCCCCCCCCTCCCACGGCCCAAAAAAAACATACCAATTACCAACAAATAGAACCCTTTTCCCATGATTAAATTCACGACTTCCTTCCAAGGTTTACTTACTTTACCCCTTACCTCCCGCTTCAACTTCCTCCAACGCTCCCGAGGAGCCATCCATCACACCAATCTATGTATGTCTGTTCTAATGTATTTACATATATACACTTTTTACACCGCAGAGCCAAACATCATTTAAGATTGATTTATTTATTTAGTTTTTGTCTCTTTTTTATCTTTTATCTATTTAATGTCACAAGGACCCCCCCTCCCCTCCCCCTCCATCCTCTCTTCTTTCTTTCTCCCCACTGAATTGACCTGACGAAACAACACAACTACAACCAGCAAAAAAAAATAAATAAATAAATAAATAAATAAAATAAAAATAGTAAAAATAAAAATTCGATCGAGGAAACCCAACGCGATGAACACCCAAAACACCTTCTTTTAGTTAGTAAAACCCAAACCAAAGCCCAAAGCTCTCAAGGAAGGAGGAAATGAGATGAAATGAAATAAGGGGGTACGTCGAACGTCCGTGGGGAAGATATTACATATAGGAGTATAGGAGTATAGGAGTATAGGAATACAAGCGTGTGTGAAAAAGGTAAGGTTTTATCACTTCGTTTTCGTTTGGGTATTGAGTCGTGAGTTATAGTGGGTAACGCGTAGTTAGAGACGTAGTAGTAAGTAACGTAAGTAGAGAAGGAAGGAAGCAATGGCGATTCGCGTAGATTGTATATGTCTTTGGAGGGAAGTATGGGACATAAAGGGGGTGTGGGGTGGCTTGGTGAGTTTGTGGTGTTGATGCATAGCTTTTTTTTTGTAAGAGAGTCAGTCTTACTCTGCGCGGAACTATGGGGAGGTCGGGGGTTGGGATTCAATTATCTTCTCGGTAGATATCGTACGTATCCCCCCGTTAAAAGAAGGCCGCGAGTGCTCCGATTGCCTGCCTGGCTGCCTTGGCTGCTAGACTGGTACAGCTGGGCATGAATCTCCCGTCCGCCTTTATTATTTTCATAAACATCGGAGGTAAAAAAAAGCAGCGGTGCGGCCGTGCCGTGTAGTACGGTCGGTGGTGCTGCCGAATGAATTGCTGATTATCATATCATATCATGTCTTTTGGCTGACTGGCTGTCTAGCTGCTGTCATGTCGTGTGTGGTTTGTTTTCTACTTCCCCCTTTTCCCTCTGTTCCTGCGTATGATCGCGGCATACATGTATAACTAGAGTTGTACCGGGAGGGGGGTCCCTGGGTGGCGTTATAGCCCATTACATATATATATATATATATATATATATACATGCTGGCGGTGAAAAGGGATTTGGTTTTTTCCAATCTATTTTCCAGTTCCCCATGTCTCAATTGGAGAAGGCCTGGGGTTTCTACCAGCTGGTTTCGTTCGCTCGGTCCGTGGGTAAGACAGATAGATTAGTTGGAAATGAACAACTTTGGTTTCGGTGGAAAGTTTTTTGTTCGGTACATTTTTTTTTTTCCTTTTTGTTGAAAAAAAAATGGCCATTGTAATTTTTGTTAATTTTGGATTTCGGGTGTAGCAGTAGTAGTAGTAGTAGTAGGTATAGCTATCTGGTGGCCGATAAACCGCTCCTGCTCTGGCTTCCAGGTACCTATTGATGTTTTTGTGTTAGAATTGTTGGTTTTGTATATATTATCAGATCAGGGATGGTCAGGGATGGTCAGGGGTATTGAAAAAGGGGTAGGGGTAGGGGCAGGGGTGAAGAATAACAGTGTAGGCCAGGGTTAGGGAAGGAAGAGGCAGAATAGATGAAAACACCGGGGTAGAAGTATGTATAAATATATAAATATATATAAACCCACCTTCAAACTCATGCTTCACAAACGCCATCGGATCATCCGGATCCTTCGCGCCCATCTGGCGCACCCCAGGACTAAAACTCGTAATCGGCAACACAACCACATCCCCCAACTTTCTCTGCACCGTGATGCCCGAAAAATCCATCGCCGTCACATTCCGCCCATGCGGTGGCCGCGCGGCTTCGAAATAGTTCGGGTCATTGAAATACCGAAAGACCGCATCCGTCCACACGGCGGGGCCCGTGAACTCGACAATGGACTTATCCATCTTGCTCGGGGTTAGGATCCCCGCCTGCTTCATGCGCAGGGTTTCCTCGGTGATTGTCGCGACGACATCGCGCAGGACCGGGTGGCCCGGCTTGGACTGGATGGTCCACTGGCAAAACTGGACCTGGCGGGAGTACCACTGATACCAGTCTTCGCGGTCGAGGGCGTCGGCTTCGATGCCGATGATCAGGCCGATGGTGGAGCGGTTGACGTATCTGGGCAGCCAGTCCTCAGCGGGCTGGAGGGCGGAGGTGTCGATGTCGCTATAGATGCCACCGCGGGCGAGGAGGATGAGGTAGCGGAAGAAATCTGCCCTGAGAACGGGCAAGGGCAGGGAGCGGTATGCGTCGAGGATCTCTGGGAAGGCGGCGTAGAGATATCTCAGCAGCGGGTCAGCTGCCTCGTCTGTGATTACTTCGTGGACGAAGGTTGGGTGCCATTCAGTCCAGCTGGCCTCCAAGGGGCGGAGTTTCTCTTCAAACTCGCCGGAAGCGGGGGTGTATTTCCAGGTTTGCCAGATGTAGGCGGGGAATTTAGATTGGACGTCATAGGGGAATTGGTAACGGAGTCGTTCGCGGAGGGGTTTCCGGGCAAGGTTACCTGGGGGTGGTGGGTTATGAGGTTGATGTACTGCCGGTTTTGATATGCCTGAGCCGGATGAGCCGGATTGGGTATGTGCAGCTTGTTGATTTGTGGCGGTGGGTGTCTGGGCGGGGTCTGGATAGGGGGGTGTTGAGTGGAGTTCTGCGCGAGTGACAGTCGAGATAGCAGGTCTAGTGTTGGAGTTGGAATGGGAGGAGAGGAGGAAGAAGAAGGAAGTGAGTAGGAAGATGGTGGCGGCTATCGATCTTCGAAAGGTAATCATGGCGGCTGTAGTTGTAGTTGCAGCAGCAGGCGGTATCAATCGAGCTGTGGAGGAGCTCCCGTCAACCATCCGAGGCTGACGAGAAGAAGAGAGGGGGGTGGAGGAGGGGAAGAACAAGAAGAACAGGAGAACGCCCGGCTCAGTGGAATGATTATCATTTACTTCGTCAGGACTGAAGCTTAAAGACGACGCTGGGGTAAACAATTGGATTGTTGGATAGAGGCGGAGTCGAAGGTTTAGATGGAATCCAAGGACGTAGAGAAGTTTAAAAAAAAAAAAAAAAAAAAAAAAAAAACGTAATATAGCCCCAACCACAGCAATCAGACAGACAATCAACCAGGAAGCCTTCCCTTCCAGACCAAACCGATCACCGACGCATGGTGGTATATAAAGTACTCCGCGTAAGTAGGTATGTATGGGCAATTGGAGGAAGGAGGGAGAGAAGGGGGAAAAGGGACCGCAGAGAGGTGGTATGGTATGTATGTAGTCAATTATTTTTTTTATTAATCTAGTAGGAGAGCTAGTAACTATATGAAAAAGAGGCAGAGAGAAGAAGCCGTCAAGACTTGTTAGCAGAGAGATGAAGAAGCAAGAAGAAGAAGAAGAAGAAGAAGAAGAAAAAAATAGAACCCGCCGGTGGGAGAAAGAGAAATTGGGGGATTCTCGCGTGGTTGCTGGATACAGCTCCCAACGAGTGAACAACTCAACAAGCATACGATAGATATACGTAGTAACGAGCAATAGAAATAATAGTAATACTAATATCAATAAACAGTCCCTGGTTGAAACACTTTCTGCAACAGGCTTGTTTCCTCATTCCCATTCCCCATTCCCCATTCCCCATTCATTCCCCATTGCAGCAGTCCCTCGCATTGAATCTTTTGTCCGCCGCAGATCGCGGATGTAACGGAGTAAGTAATATAAAGATGCATAACCCAATAACATAATATACCCCTCGGTACCCAGCTCATCCGCCGTTGCCCGCCTGTGCCCGATGTTCCTCGATGTCCCTCGATGTATATAGTAATAGTAGTAATATATGTTATGTACAACTTAGACCCCTGCTAGACTGTTTCCGGTATAGCGCGAACTTGAAACAAAAGATCTGCACCGCCGGGGTTGCGGCTAGTTATTGGGGTCTGATCTGATTGGCTGGTCCACTCTTCGCCTCCAGACTTCCACAGGACAGGGGGATTGACAGCTTGATGATGTCATCCACCTATTTATTATTTATTCCAAGAACAAATGATAACTTGTTAAATATTATATCTAGATATCTATATTTCAGGTTTTTCTTTTTCCTCTCTCAGAATGCTGTCTGTCTCAATCTACATGTTACATGTACGTTAATGTACATGTACATGTCCTGTACATACTGTATGTGTTCCCCTAGAAGAGACAAAAGCAGGAAAAATACTTTCTACTGGTTTCATCATTTGCATGCATATATGGTGTTGATCCTAGCCTGTTCTCTCTCACCTTGAGTGAACTAGTTATATTTAAGTAGCCTACTGCTGCGTACTTCTCTGATCATCTCAAGCCTAAGTTTCAATCCAGTTCACTCAAGATAGAGTGTAAAAAGTTCAGCTTCTGCAGCCCCAGCCAGCCAGCCTACCTATGTAACTTTCTAGTCCCGCGTCACTATGGGCTGTTGAACTACGGATTAGGCTATTAATATGGATGCCGATTCCTTAACTTTTAGATCAAAATTGCTTATCATGAACATGCCTTGGGAAATACAGTACCCACATCTGGCAAATTTTAATGGACTGGAGGAGTTGATACTTGCTGAATATATATACAACGGTTGAATGTTGTTGTTTGAGTGGGAATTAATTGAGTTTGGTGCCCGGCCAAGCAAGCAACTCCTTATTTATCTTATTTATCTTATCTATCTGTCTTCGAATCGACCAAACCCATCCCAAAAACACTCCGTTAAGAAATAAGTACATACATACATTATGCATGAATATTCCGCTTTGTGATAATAATAACAGACAGATGGGATGAACTACAATACGCCATCCTCCCACAACCAACTCGCTCGATCTTTACCTCGATTAGAGAAAACGCATGTTGTCCATCCGCCCTAGTTGTTCGATGAAGTCCGTCCCCCCCTTTCCTTTCCCCTTGTCTCGGCGTCGTCTCGTCCTCCCCACCATCCCTGAACCCATCCCATACCCTACCCTACCCTCGCAGACGGGACACGAAACATAATCCATCAATAACATTTGCGACAGCATTGCTATCGATAATAACCGTCTACAACATTGTACTGTACAATGGCAACCAGTAATAATAATAATAATAATAATAATGATGATGATGATGATGATGATGATGATGAGACTACAAAATCCCTCCATCCCCAGCATCTCCACCGCCGCAGCCGCCGCACTCTCCTAATCCGCCTCCTCATCGCCTCCATCCTCGCTCTCGCCCTTCTCCTCGCCATCGGCACCTACAGGCTCATCCACAATTCCCGCAGACGGCCCGAGCCCACCATGCCGCGAAAAGTGATGACAAACTTCCCGGATCCCGGCCTGCTGGAGTATAACGGGACGTGGTATGCGTTTGGCACGAATCCGACCGCGGATGATGATGAGCCGGACTTTCACGTGCCAATTGCGATGCCGGTGGGTGATGGTGGCGGGAATGACGGGGGGTTCTTTGGCGAGTGGAAGCATACGGGTCGTGATGCGTTGCCTGAGGTGGCGATGTGGGAGACCAGGAGGGATCATTGGGCGCCGGATGTCCTTACGAGGGTGAGCCTTTATTATTATTTAATCTATACCTACTGGTTCTGGAACTGTTCATTTTGATTACAGTTTATTATGACCTTTACGACCACTCGGCTGACTAGCATAATCGGTTTCATTTCATTTTTCCAGCCCGACGGCCGTCATCTCCTCTACTACTCCGGCGAGCTCGACGTCTGGCGCCGCCACCACTGCATCGGCGTCGCCGTCTCAGAAACCACGGACCCGCGCGGCCCTTACAAAGCTGAAGGCACCTACCTCGCCTGCCCCTCCGCGCACGGCGGCGGCATTCACCCCTCCGCCATCAACGACGCCGACGGCACCATCTACGTCGTCTACAAGGGCGACGGGAACAGCATGAACCGGTACCCCAGCGGTAGCGATAGCAGCGATTGCACCCAGGCCATCCCACCGCTGCGGTCGACGCCGCTGCTGCTCCAGAAGATGAAAGCGGACGGCATCAGGGCGGACGGCGAGGCGGTGCAGATCCTCGACCGGGTCGAGAAGGAGGATGGCCCGCTGGTGGAGGCACCGAGTCTGATCCGGAGCGCGCAGGGGGTGTATTTCCTGTTCTATTCGAGCCATTGTTCGGATTCGCGGGCGTATGATGTCAAGTATGCGACGGCGCGCAGGATCACGGGTCCGTATGTGAGGGCGGAGAGACCGTTGTTGAAGACGGGGGATTTTGGGCTGGTGGCGCCGGGCGGAGCGTCGGTGTCGAAGGATGGGGGGAAGATTGCTTTCCATGCGGATTGTGGGGATGAAGGGAGGTGTATGTGGGTTGCGGCTGTTGAGATTGATGGGTTGGAGGCGAGGGTTGTGGCGTCTCCGTCGTGAGTTTTGACTGTATATTATTATTTTATTTTCTTGCTGGGATAAGTTAGTTATTTATTTATTAGTTCTGGATAATACCCATTTGGCATTTTACTATTTTAATGGGCTCCGTTTTACTCCCATCACATCACCCATCTATTACTAATAATTAATCTAATAATAAGAATTAAAGAACAAGATTCTTTCTTACAACTCAATTTATTGACCCCTGTTGAGGTATTACCAATCACACCTCTCACCGCCTTCAACCGCAGCCAATCGCCGCGCCCTATGATGATGCAATGCAACCGCGGCCCGCGCGGCAGAACAGAAAGTTCCGGCCCCCATCGCGGATACATAAAAAAAAAAAAAAAAAAAACGAATCCTCGAGCTGATGCTGATGCTGATGCTGATGTTGATGTTGATGTTGATGGTGATGCTACTCTCTTATTTGTCTCTATCTATGTCTCCGTATAACAACTGTCTATCTCTAGCTCAAGTGTAGTATAGATAGATATATCGTGCGGGGGAGACTGAGAATGGCCGTTCACTCACTGTAGATCTGGATTTTTCGACCTATCATACAACCTCATATCTTTTTTTTTTTTTTTTTTTTTTTTTTTTTTTTTTTTTGCTTTTTTTTCTTTTTTTTTCTTTTTTTTTCTTTCTTGTTGTTAATGGCAAGCTCGAGGGGAGCTGCAGCCGCAGTAGCAGCTCGATTATTGACTGCGTGGAGACCAGCAATTGCTCGACGTCAGTATGCGGGGATGTGCAGACCCTCCAAAACACCAGCGGCGGGACAAATATACATATACATACCATCTGCTGCTGTTCAACCCCCCACGAACCCGTCTATACATACACAGGCTCCCCGCAGAGCCCAAGCTGCGACCAGCGTGAAAAGAACAGCGGAGCGAGAACCGTCCTCGACAAAACCTCATGAACAACACCCACAACCACAACCACAACCACAACCACAAGACTCCTCCTCGAATCCCGCCCTCTCCTTCCCCTGCCTAGACGCCCTCGAGGCCAAATCCGCCCGTCTCTCCGCCCGATCCCTCAACTCCGGCCCCGAACCCTCCTACACAACCGGCAGTCACCAAGAATTCAAATCCACCGACCTCCTCCTCCTCGACTGGGGTGGCGTCCTCCCCGAATTCACCATCGCCTACGAAACCTGGGGCACGCTAAACAGCGACAAATCCAACGCCATCCTCCTCCACACCGGCCTCTCCGCCTCCTCGCACGCCCACAGCACCGAAGCAAACCCCAACCCAGGCTGGTGGGAACGCTTCATCGGGCCCGGCGCCCCGCTCGACACAAACAAATACTTCGTCATCTGCACCAACGTCCTCGGCGGCTGCTTCGGCAGCACCGGCCCCTCCTCCATCGACCCTTCAGACGGCAAACGCTACGCAACCCGCTTCCCCATCCTCACCCTTGACGACATGGTGCGCGCCCAATTCCGCCTCCTCGACGCGCTGGGCATAACCACCCTAGCCGCCTCTGTCGGCGCCAGCATGGGCGGCATGCAATCGCTCGCCGCCGGCGTGCTCTTCCCGGACCGCGTGCGCCGCATCGTCAGCATCAGCGGCTGCGCGCGCAGCCACCCGTACAGCATCGCGATGCGGCACACGCAGCGCCAGGTGCTGATGATGGACCCGCAGTGGGCGCGCGGCTTCTACTACGACTCCATCCCGCCGCACTCGGGCATGAAGCTGGCGCGCGAGATCGCGACGGTGACGTACCGCAGCGGGCCGGAGTGGGAGAAGCGCTTTGGCCGCAAACGCGCGGATCCCAGCAAGCAGCCCGCGCTGTGCCCCGACTTCCTCATCGAGACGTACCTGGACCACGCGGGCGAGAAGTTCTCGCTCGAGTACGATGCCAACAGCCTGCTGTATGTATCCAAGGCGATGGACCTGTTTGACCTGGGCCGTGCGCAGCGGCTGGAGACCACGGCGCGGCGGGCGGAGACCCACCGGCGTGTCCTCAGGGAGGGGCGCGCGGTGAATGAGCCGGAGCATAGCCTTACCTTGCCGGCGGAGCCGTATGAGGAACAACCGTCGTCGTCATCATCCTCGTCATCCTCATCCGGCCAAAAATCCCACTCCCACTCCCACTCCCAACAACAACAAGAACAAGGCCCGCCCACAGACCTAATCCTCGGCCTCTCGCCGCTCAAAAACCACCCGATCCTAGTCATGGGTGTGGCCAGCGACATTCTGTTCCCTGCCTGGCAGCAGCGGGAGATAGCTGAGGCGCTGGAGGCAGCGGGGAGCTCGCGCGTGGAGCATGTCGAGCTGGGACAGGACATGTCGCTGTTTGGGCATGATACGTTTCTGTTGGATTTGGAGAATATAGGGGGGCGGGTGAGGAGGTTTTTGGAATGATTTCTTTATATATATATATATATATATATATATCGTCCTATTTTGTTTTTGTGGTTCATGTGTATATGTTAATAATGTTTGAGCATTGAATTTTGAGTTGCAATTAGAGTGCCCTTTATTCCCCCCACTCACCGCCTCTTCTTTTTCCCCCTCCTAGCCTCTTTCGCGTCCTCTTGGAATATCGATGATCTAGCATTTGGCATTTTCTAGAACAATTTTATTTTATTTTATTAATATTTTTTTTATCTTTGTGATATATATACATAGACATAACCGTAGTGAAAATAAGTGAAATAAACTATGGGCGCTTAGAGTAACCAATCATGTTGCCTTACAATGGAGATGATTACTTCGTTAGGCGGATGAAATATTATTTATATTTGATTTACATCCTGCAGAAGCTTTGGAATCCAGACATATGAAGAGAACTAACTACGCTTAAGTGAATCAGGCTAGAGTAGGTAGATACAGAGGTATGATAGCCCATATAAAGATGCTATGTATAGATGCAATATTTTTTCTTAGCCACGGGACACTAACATCGGGAAAGTGTTAAGCATTGCACAAATACCACCGCAAGACAGAGAGCAGTCAGTGGGCAGAGGGACTAGCACAAGAGCAACCCGAAGATAGAAAGCCTAGAACTTAGTTTTTGGCGTGAGTGCCAGAAAAGTGGATATCTAAATATGCAGCGCGGGTGAAGATGTGAAACGGACAAGAAATGGGAGGTGAACAAGGAGTGCGAACCAATAGATAGAAGAAGTAATTGCGAAGGCCCTCAGATTAGCTCTCGAGTTCTCATAGATTTCCATGCAGTAAAAAAAATGAAGCAAAAAGAAAAACATTTTGCAACATATTTTCGCCGGATACCCTGCAACTTTGCCGATGTTTGAAAGACATCACTTGTCAATCTCGTCATTGGACCTTCGACTTATTTTTTAATGCGATATTTTGATGTCTTTTTTGAGGGGGACAAACGGGGGGAAGAAGGGCCTTTTTCTTTTTCTTTTTCTTTTCTTTCCTTTTCTTTTCTTTTTTTTTTTCTTGGTAGTTTTCAATACGCCACCCATTCAAGACGGGACAAAGGAGGGAGAGGCGAAGTCCAGAGTCTGCTATTTTGCCCACAGCCCACAGTGTACAAGTCAAAGCCCACATTTAATCCGACCAGCTTGACTCTTGGGGCTTCACCATCCGCCCCTCTGGGTCTAGCGTGCACGCCACTTTCTGCGTCAGGAAGGCTGCGAGTCCTCATGGTGTTGTTCCAATCACTCATCGCAGACCATTTTTTAAGTCACCTGAGTGAGCTAGGGCCTGGATGATGGTGCATCTGTACCGAAGCCATGTGCACGGGGCAACATATGATTTTGTAGCATGCGCGTTAACGGCTTCCTGAGTGCGTTACACTCGTGGCCATGCGCAAGTTCGGGTACAGGTTTTTGTCAAGACACTCGTCGCGAGTTCTGCGAGTGAGGGGTCCATTCATGCGAACTGCTCCAGAGCATGTTGTTCCGAAAGTTGAAGTCAGGGCTACCGAACAGTGCTCAACGGCGATCTCTTCAACACTGCCCGTCACTCTTGGATGTACAATGACTCGTTTGCAGAAAGCAACCCGGCAATGTCCGGGATGGCACTCGACTCGGACTCCAGTCTGTAATTTTTACTTCGAGGGATGGGGCCCATAAAGAAGCGCCGAAAGGAACATGTAGAGTAGCAATGCAACTTGCCTGCAATTGAACGCATTGCCGCCGAATGTTGATCAGGCAAACAACCAGGGTGAAACCCACATCAGCCTCGAATTTTATCTCTGACCACGTTACAACTCGCAAAGTCCACGGTGACCAAGTAGTTCAAGTTTCAGAGCCTGGTGCTATGAACGTGCAAACTCAATTCCAACACTGCAAGATTGCAATCGTTAGTTGAGATATCACACATTAAAGAGTGTATTGAAAATGCTTCTTCTCCATATCAGATTGAAAACTACAATAAATTCAATATTCCTCATAGGCAATGCTCAACGTCGTTACCTTCCATGAGGAAAACATACGGAACACAGGAGGGAATCTAGTCCACTCCTCCCTCGGGGTATGCAAATTGATTGTCATCATAGTGGTTTTGAAGGATTCATTGTAACAGCCAAGTTGTTGTTTTGAAGCACAGCAACATACCTCTGTACCAGATTTGTTGCCGAGGACACCTCCACGCTCCACAAGATATCAGAAGCAATTCGAACCCGGCCGCTGGGGTGGGACAGCCAGGGGGCCTATCAGGCTGTCAGCATCGGTCGTTTGCTTTGCGAGGGAAACTGAGACAAGGGTAATCAAACAGGTAACCAAGCTAAGACAAACAGAAAAGCAGATGTCTCTAAGATCTCTGTTCTTTTTATCACTCACTGATGCACTGCCTTGTATTGCTTCTTCCACCTGAGTCAAAACAACTTAGGGGATGAAGGCAAAGCTCTAGAAAGCCAGGCAACACAGCTCATGATAGCTCAATGTGAGAGTCATCATCATTGAGACGCGTAGCGGAAAGCAAATCAAAATGAAGGGAAGGAGAGAGAACTCACAGTCAGCAACTAAAATGCTCACAAAGGGCCAGCCATACCCAGGGGGGTTTCTCACCTGTTGCGGGTGGCCTGAAGGAGGACAGGAAGTGGAGGAGAAGTTCAAGCTGGAATCTCTTGACACGACTAGTTACTAGCGCGAAGTTGTGTGTTGTTGTATGTTACAAGTCACATGACCATCTGACGTCGGGCTTTGAGCTTCAAGGAAATAAGCATTTTTTTCTGGGATTGAAAAGAGATTTATTGTATCCAAGTTTTACCATTACAATTCAAAATGAGCGTTTGTAAGTCAGGCGATGGATTATGGGTTTTATGAGTAGCAGTCAGGACTAGGTTCACCATTCCGGAGAAGACTACGAATAGAGTAGCTCCGGAGGCTCTTCATCAGAGGAAGAGCCGAGCATTTTAACAGGACGAAAACAACGACCCCGGGAACAATGTCAGCTTGGATTCAAAGGCAGACAAACTCGCCCTATGTGCAGTTGGTGGGTGCATCTGTTCTGTCCGGTGCAGCTGTTGCTGGTGCCATCCTTGGTTATCAGTCAGTGAAGAGGCAGGCGGCGGTGCAGAAACTGAAAGCGTCCATCCCAGACCTTGACGAACAACATATGACACAGAAGGTTTGAGTTCCTATATGGCAGTTTGACCAGGGAATGGCAGGGAATGGTCCCGGTGCCCTGCTTGCTCTTAAAATATCTGGCATATCGGTTTTTGATACCTGACTGACTGGTCTAAATGAAGCTTACAGAATTCGGGCTAGCAACCCCTCCGAAGCTCAGTAAAGAAGATGCTCGAAGTGCCGCTCTCGCTCGTAGAGCCCAAACAGGAGACTATGATGATGGTATGCTGTTTTCCTTGCTTTTCTTTTCTTTTGACTTTTGGCTCACATACATACAAATCGCATGCTAATCCCACTTTTGACGCAATTGTAGGTCTAATCCTAGAACAACTTGCCCGAAATCGGGTCTTTCTCACCGACGAAGGTCTATCAAAGCTGCGATCTTCCTTTGTAATCATTGTGGGATGTGGTGGGGTTGGCTCTCATGCAGCCGCTGCTCTGGCACGCTCCGGAGTGTCCCGGATCCGTCTGATAGACTTTGATCAGGTCACCCTGTCATCATTAAATCGACATGCCGTTGCAACCCTTTCAGATGTCGGCACGCCAAAAGTTCAATGTATCCGGACCAGGCTGGAGCAGATAGTGCCCTGGGTGCGGTTTGACTGCCGGGATGAACTGTATAGTGAAGCAGCCGCAGATGCTCTACTACGTCCTTGGAATATGCAAGGCGACAAAGAGACACGGAAGCCAGACTTTGTTCTGGACTGTATTGATAATATTTCGTCCAAGGTCTCTCTCCTTCACTACTGCCATTCACACAATATCCCCGTCATTTCTTCCATGGGCGCTGGGTGTAAATCCGATCCCACTCGCATTACAATAGGTGATATCTCTTTGAGCGCTGAAGATCCTCTCTCCCGAAGTACACGGCGTCGATTGAAGGCCCTCGGAGTCAGCTCTGGAATCCCAGTAGTTTTCTCTACCGAAAAACCCGGACCTGGAAAGGCTTCGCTACTCCCGCTGGCTGAGGAAGAATTTGCAAAGGGTGAGGTTGGGGAGCTCGGCGTTCTCCCCGATTTTCGTGTGCGGATCCTTCCCGTCATCGGCACAATGCCAGCTGTGTTTGGATATACCCTCGCCAACCACGCCATCTGCGAAATATCTGGATACCCCAACGAGTACAACGCGGGTGCCAAAGGCCGAGAAAAAATGTATGACAGCATCTTGGGGGCGCTACAGGGGATGGAAGAACGCTTAGCGAAATCCGATACTGGGCAAGACCCAGTCGGATTACGGATACCCATTAACAAAGATGATATCGCCTACCTGATCGAAGAAGTGTGGAGGGGAAAGAGCGTCGTAACCGGTTTGGCTACGCGGCTGATGTTGGTGCGTTGGAAGCGGCCGGAGCATGGGTTTGGACCTGATCCGCTCTGGGAAAAGGAAGGGCAAAGGGGAGCGCGGCTGGACCTGAAAGACCTGGTTTGTATGACCAAGGAGGAGGCACTGCGGCATGAGCGGGAGGTCCTAAAGGGCGGTAAGGCCGTCGAAGACATGTATGATGAGAAACTAATTCGGAAGGTGGAGGAGCGGATACGTGAGCAGGAGGTTTATGAAAAGTATAGATAGATGAACGAATGAATGAATTGTATAGAATATGAAGAGAATTCTGAATGTTCTTATGTATTTTGCGCATGTAGTGATTAAACATTATAGGAGAGTCTGCAACTCTCAGTAGCATGCGAAATCGGGTATAGTCGATAGCAGAGAAAATAATCAAGCTTCGTTAACTACATATACTTTTCTCCGGTAGAGCTACTAGTGCGCTGGTGGTGATTGAGCTCTTTTGCCCCAGTAGCTTACAGATTACGAGACTGTTTAGCATGAGCCCTGCTGTGGTCAACATGCATGAGTTCAATCCCAGGATGGACTTAAGAATTAAAAATCCCAACAATATCCCAGACATTAACAGTGCCAAGAGAGTGCCAAGAGACACTCTAGAAGTGTGTCCTTGAAGTGAGCTCTAGAAGTGAGTTCAGAAAAAAAGACTGCTGAGAGAAGCCACTGAGAGAAGTCACTGAGAGAAGTAGTGCTCTGTGATAGCTGGTCTGAGAGGGGGTGTTGAAGGTCCTGAGTTGATTCAGCTCTTCTACCAGCAGTGTGCTGGTGATGATTGAGCTCTTTTGCCCCAGTAGCCTACATTTTGCATGGAAAAGTTGGTTTTTCTATCTCTTAGAGGATAACGTTGTCATGTATAATCTATCTTAGGGTGAAACTACAGAGTACGGAGTACAGCGTATGTTTGATGTCAATTCTCAAGATAGAGCGAATGATGGGGAGAATAATGCTATATATAGCTCTAAGTGCCACTAAGTGGGCAATATACATGAACTTATTTTTGTGGTCGGCTAGAATCTGCTTGGCAAATGCGCGGTGAGTTGCTCAGCCTCTCTTCTTTCGATATTTTTGGGTTAGTGCGACCAACTAAACTCCTTTAGACTTCTGCCAAGTTCTGCTAACGTCTGGACCAATCATAGACTTCACCCGTGCTCGCAACTCCGTGAAGATTTTGCTGGGGATGTCCTATTTAGATTTAGTGTATGTCCTCTGGCAGTTGATTGGCTCAGATGTTAGCGGGACTTGGCAGAAGGTGGCAGTAGTTCGGATCTGGTTAGCTCGGGATGTGGAGTGGCTGAGTTTACTGAGTGTACAGATTTTACTGTGAAACCCTCCCCTTTTAGCTAGGATTAATATAGTTTACGGTTGGATAGTTAGTATACAAAATATTAATGAGAATTTGAGAAAGAATCATGTCAAGGCGGATCAATTAGGGCGTTTCAATACTAAATGGTGATTAGGCTAAACTATATTAAGCCTAATGCAAAAGGGGAGTTGTTTCAAAACTTTTGTTGATTGATAAACTAACTCAAATCGCTTCCCCTGAACTAAAACGTTTATTTACCCCTACGTCATAATAAACTCAGGCGGGCTAAAACCAGACACGTGACTGAACTGTGAAGCCAATGGGGATATCATATCTCAATGGCTCAAGTCTCTCCTCAACATACAGCCAGAAGCTGTCCACCGATCCAGCCATGAAACCGTCGACAAGAATAAGCCTGCTTATGACGATATAACAAGTGACGACGAAACGCCGCCTGCCGAAACCCATTTGCGAGCGGAGTCTCCTTGGCGTGACGCTATATCTGGCGGCGGGAGCGGTAGACTCCGAAACTTGACTGGGCGGAATGCCCCTTAATTCCTCTTCTTCCTATCCACGACAACCACAGCGTCCTCTCGTCGATGATATGAGGAATGGCTGGATGGCCACAGAACAAAAATACAGCAAGTTGGGCCCAAATATGAAGGCCGACGGCTCTAAAAGGTTCCCTGCTTGCATGAAGGGCCTCTTCACTCTTTTCAGTGCTCCGCGATTCCGTCGTTACATCATCGTGTATGTTATTCTCGTGTGGATATTTCTGGGTAGCTGGGTTAGGTTGATTTCTCCTCGCTTAAAGGAGCATGAGGAGCTATCAAGAGCGCTAGACGTGAATGCCAGAGACAGTACTTTGGGCTGGTTTGGGTCTAATGCCCTGCCCAAATTTGACGACCTGGTATATCTGAGATTGTTGGACCCTGCGCTGCGACCCAGCGAGAATGCGGATAGCGCTCAAAAAAGACGACTTATTGTGATAGGCGATGTCCATGGCTGTTTGGATGAATGTGAGTTCCCTCAAGTGTTATATCTGAAAAAAATGGAAAAAAAAATGAAGAAAAATAAAAATGAAGAAAGAACAAAGAACTAGCTACTTTAAGTAAATTTTTGATGTGGCTCTAACCTTACCTATCCCTTTCTTCCTATGTGTAGTGGAATCCCTTCTACAAAAAGCCGAATTTGACCCCAAGAACGGAGACCATTTGATCTTCACTGGCAACCTGATAGCGAAGGGCCCCAAGAGCACGGGAGTAGTTGATCTCGCTCGCAAATACCGGGCCTCCTGTGTCCGAGGAAATCATGAAGATCGTGTCCTTCTTACCCGGCGCGATATCAAGGCTACAGGTCCGTCTAGAAATGAGCGTTCCTCTAACAATGAGCCAGATCAAGCAGACCACGACATAGAACCTGGTAATAGGGAACGGGCTCTTGCGAGAGAATTGAGCGACGAGCAAGCGGGTTGGTTGGATGCATGCCCTGTGATCTTGAAAGTGGGATCGATAAAAGGCATGGGAGAGGTGGTGGTCGTGCATGGTGGCCTAGTGGCAGGCGTTGAGTTAGAGAGCCAAGATCCCTCAACCGTCATGAGTATGCGAACTATTGATCTTTCAAGCCATATTCCCAGCGCGTCATCGAAGGGCGTCTCTTGGACAAAGGTGCGTCTCAATCCAGGCTGAAAATGTCCTGGCGCATACTATCCTACGTTGTGTTCTCCTACAAAGAGTTGACTAACAATTATCCCAATCTCCTAGCTCTTCAATAAACATCAAAGCATTTTAGCAGTATCTCGAGAATCTGCATCGGCAGGAGAGAAGGACCGGTATTCACCTTCAACAACCGTGATATACGGAAATGATCCGCGCCGTTCTCCTGCCCTGGAGAAGTATACCAAGGGTTTGGACACAGGTTGCGTCAAGGGAGGGAAACTTTCCGCAATGATCATTGGGGATGGCGGCATTACCCGCATTGAGAGCGTAAAGTGCAAGGATTATACGATGAAGAGGACCGCGAAGCGCTGAGCATCATTGGTGACTAATTTTCCAACACCCCTTTCTTGGAGCTGGCTGAATTTTTGTTTCCTTTTTTTCTCTTTTTTCCCCCCCGATACTCGGTCGTTTTGGTGTCCGGTTTTGATTCTTCACTTCTATATTCCAAGTTTTTTTGTTTTGTTTTGTTTTGTTTTGTTTTGTTTTGTTTTCGAAGTGTAATTAGAGGGCGCCTTTTACTTTTTTCTTTTATCAGTTTTTGTAAAATAGAATTACCTATACCGTTGGATACTTCTCATGCAACATGTTCCAGATATCGGCCATGCCTTCCCCCCATAGATCATTTTATTTTCTCTTCTCGAAACTAACTTACCTGCCTACCTAGGTATACTTGCATCATTCTCACTTGACACACACACTTCCTTTGCCAACCAACATCTGGCGGCGTATACGTGTGTGTTTCTTTTGTCCTGGCTCTTTATCAAGGTGTCTTCTGGCGGCGATCCTGTTGCCATTAAATCCTGCTGCTTAGAATGCACAGCTGATGCATATTCTTAAGGGTCAATGGATGCTTTGCCATTCGCAAAATGATAAATTGTAACAATCAGTTCTTCTTCAGAAAAGCCCTGTGGCGGATGGATGGGTAGAACCCAAGGCGCGACTGGCTGTGGCTCGATAGGCCTATGTGATACACAGTTTCGCGCGGCCGCAAGTATACGAGCATGGAAGCGTGACAGGAAGGGGTGTGCAAACCTGTTGGCACAATTGGGACTGTAATCTCCAACCTTGTTTCCGGGAATAGGTCTGCCCGAGCGGGAGCGGCGGAATAGCGAGAATCAGCTGTAAGGCGACCTAGAAATAAGTGTTTCATCTTGTGTTTGTACTGTACATGCCAAGGGTAAAAGTTGTACACATTTTCATCCCTGTCCATTCCATCCCCTGCATCCCTTAGGTAGTATATTGTTACCGGTTTGTTTGAGCACATTAGGAAGTATCCGCCCAAGGTTTTCTGGATGTTTGCTCTACACGGCTCAGTGCGTTGAGATTCCGAAACTCCTTGTGTGTGCCGAGGTATGGTATGCATAGACGGCCTGTTGTTACCGCGCAGTGCACACAGAGAAAAGAAACTTATTCTTACCCAGCGTTGGTACATTCCATAGGACTAGCGGAGTTTTGTACGGACACACGCCGAAATAGAGATATCGGTAACTTAAGCGGGACGACCCGTCCGGAAGCAAGAACCACCAACCTTATCAAACGACAACGATGCTTCTTATTTTCATTTTTATTTATTTCTTTCTTTACTATACATTTTCCTCCAATGTACCTAGAGCAATGTTGACTGTAGTTTTCATTCCTGCAAGTTTAGATTTAAGGATCAATGAACAACGAAAATTGTATTTACATTTGAGATTATTATAGTCCATGTAGATGTAGAAACAATTGAATTAAGCCAGCTTCCTTACGGGTCAAACTGGGTTGGGAGAATAGAACTGATTGATACTGTCAAAGGGCATGAACCTGGAAGGCCAGCAATATTTAAGACGAGAACAGGAAGGTGGTCGTGTAAAAGGGCGTGGGGGTATACATATTAGATAAATAATGATAAGATAGATGGACATTAATCATGACGACGCAAGGGGGTAGTGTCGCTTCGGTAGGGTGGGTATATATATATCCATTACACAGCATTCAACATAAATGGGGAAAATTGGCAGTAAGAAAGATAGAGATTGGTTCGGGAAAGAGGGAGGAAAGGACTGGATATAGGCGGCAAATGGCGATACAGGTAAGGAATTCCAGATCAGTTACGTTAAGGAAAACATAAGTCAATAATATTGACTCGACTCCGGGGTTGCTTAAGTAGATTTTGATCAGTTTCCGTTGCGGCTTGTCTAGGAAATCCAAGTTATCGGATTAGACAGCATGACGGCGACCCCAGAAACCGCGGCGGCTATCATCATATAAGTTCTTAGTACTGGCACAAATATTTAACTGAGAAAGAAGGGATTGAGAGGAGAAGGCGGATCTTTTTGGCCAGGAACTGGAAATTACAAAAGAAATACTTACGTTCTAAGCCCATCGCCAGCTATGGGGCGACGGTCACGAGTACGGCGAGTAAACCATACACCCTGAAAAAGATTACGTCTTAGTATCGGATTGTGAAGCGGACTAGGGAGTGTACGAAGGAAGGGTAGGTAGAAGAAGAATGAATCACATACCACAATCGCAGAAACCAGCCACAGAATCGCTGAGATGAAACTGAATGCCTCCACAGCTTTCCAACGATCGCACACGCCGCCGTCGGTAATGTGGCCCCAATCGAAGGTTCCGCCGCAGTTCATCTTGTTGAGGGCGTTCACAAGAATACCAAAGGCGGCAAACCAGGCAAATGATACGAGAAGGTCCCCTATTTTAGTTTATTAGCGGAAGCTATCACCAGACGTAGATAGTTCGAGAGTACGGAATTATATATGTTACTATACATACCTATCCACAACGTAAACGATTCAGAGAAGGGTATGAGCCAAATTATACCGAGCAGGATTGATATTCCTGCTACTACGATAGTATAAATCCACCGAGCGTTCGGAAAGGAATCGGCGTCATCAAAGTGAGCTAGGTCGTTACCGATGATACCGGCTACAACCTAAATTTGTATAGGACTTGTTAACCAAGTAAATTCACGGGATGGATAGAATTAGACGTTAGAATTTATGAATATAACGGAATCACTTACCGCCGCGCAGCCAATCTCTCCAATACGGAGGATGATCGAAATCAGTCGAGAGAAGACAGGCATTGTAGTTAATAGCGTATTGTTGGCTTATCTCTATTGAGCAAAAGCGCTTTATTGGCGTCGCTTGCAATGGAATGCCTGAGCTGATACGGTTGATCAGTGTATCCTTCCGGCCACTTGAAGCTGCACCTGATGATTAATATACAACTGAAGTAAGATTAAAGTGAAAGGATTTGAAATTTATTTGAAATTTCTCAATAACAGAAAGAGTATAAAAATATATAAACAGTGAGAAAAATTCCCATGAGGCTGAATTATATCAGCAGAAAAAGTAACAAAAACTGCAATGCTAGTTCATCAAAGTGCACATGTGACACAACAGTGCTGTCAAATAGGCCGGATAGGGGAATGCAACAAATAATAATACAGGGCAAGAGTAAGAAATTAGTTGTTCCGATATGTTTCTGCAGAATCAGCTGCTATGACAAATGCTACGATGACGTAGCTGCTGTGGCTTGCCAACGATGTGGCACTAGTCTTTGTCATACAGCAAGGCAGAGAGACAGACGTCTGTCAGGTCAATATTTGCGCGACCAATCGTAAGAACATTTGGGTGTTCCCAGATGTGGGGTTTGGCCGTTGGTCGTGTTCCAAGGTTGGAAAGAATTCAAGTTCAAAGCAGAATGAGGGACACGCTAGCCCCGCTATGCACTGTAGGTTGAACAATCAAAAGTCCAAGATCCAGCCGCTCTGAACTCTCTCCATAGAGAAGAATTTGGCGTGGCGAAGTCGGGCTATGACTCATTTGGTCAATTGGCCTAATGGCCGCAGCAAACACATGCCAACGTCTTTGGATGGAGGTTGACTGCATCTTATCTTCCATCATGAATTCTTCCCTGCAACCGCAATTATCCTTGTGAGCATGAAATCAAGTAACCCCACGCTGGTATCTTACATGGACATGAACAAGCAATTTTCCTTTGCCTGGTTCGTTCATCTCTGGATGTTCCGATGAGAGTGGGTGCTATTATCATGTCGACCAACCTGTTCGGATACAGTTGATACCTGGCACCTGGCCGGTAGCTTAGCCTAGGGGCTTCTTTGCCTTGTGCTAACCTGATAGGAAATATGATGTAGAGCTGGTTCTCTCCCAGCTTCACCAAGATGTGGAGTTTCTCCGAAGTTTCTAGACTTGATATTGGGTTGTATCACTTGTTGTACAGAGTATGAATATAGAACAGGCAACAACGGCGCCAACCTGCCATCCCGCCTAAACCCAGCTTGGTTAGTGCAGTCCAATATGTGATTAGTCAGCCGCGCACAGCTTGTCCGTTGGTGACAGCCGAGCACGGACCATCGCGTCTGCCTCGAAGGGGAAATATTATTGTTGGAGATCTATCTCAGCATCCAACGCGCTTGGATCACGGAACGAGGGCAGGGAATGTTTGCGTCACAAGAGATGTGTGAGATATTCATTGCATTTTGTTCCTTCTATAACAATATTTCGAAGTAGCTAGCGCCTTTCTTCGCCTTTCTTTATTTCCAAGGCCCCTCAATTCTTTCTTTCTTTTCTTCCTTCTTGAAACACTGCCCTGACGGGCTGTTCGCGCACTACGCCGCGCTTTTGCCATTTGACCAGGGGTTTTGCAGCCGCCCGTTTTTGACAACCCACCATTGAGCTATTTGCGAAAAGCAATAATGTTGTCTGAGGATTACCCAAGTCGTAGTGGTAACCCCGCGTTCCCAACCGTGGGATCCTCCGACGAAGCCACGCCCTCGGCGTCCCCTTCTTTTTCCTCAGACAAAGAGAATCGAACTTCGGCCAGGCGGTCAGACAAAAGGAAAACCGGCCATCTAACATCCAAGGCGACACAGCTCTCTCAAGCAATGACGGACGCGCCGAATAAGAGACGAAGGCTGTCAGAAAAAGGAGTCTCAGATCGCCAAAGCCAGGCTCCACCCCGACCGCCACGACATGTCCAAGATTCCGATCTATATGACCCGGACCAGGACCCAGAGGAACGCAGGAAGATTAGAAAAGGGTTTAGAGACCTTGTGACGAATCTGAACGGTGCGACGCGTCTCTAGTTTGCGTGCTTGGATTAGTTTGCGTGAGTTTTTACTAATTCATTTTTACATAGATTCTCGCGCGGAATACCTCCAACCGGGTTCTGATGGTATCCGCACCACGCTAGATAAAGCAAATGAGCTATACAAATCCGTGAAACAAACCTCAGACGCCACCATAGATTCTCGACTGCTCGTGTCGGCGGCCGATCTGTCATATAGACGCACTGCAAAAGCGGTTTTAGGCGATGGCGAGACTGGTATTGACGTGGACGAGTTTGTGTCCAAATGTATTTCATTCATGCGCCAAGGACCCAGGGGGGAGGAGCCTTCGTTCTCCAGCACCCAGAGACGACGCCGTCGCGTTACGGGCAATGATCCCACGGAGGAAGACAGCGACGAAGAAGAAGGGGATCCCCTTAATTGGGACTGGCTTGGTAGGAAAGCCTGCTTCCCCCATAACATACGCCCGTCTCTTTCTGGATTTTTACTCGGTCCTCTATCAGTACAGAAACGGTTTCGACAACAGACTCAAAGAAGGGCAAGGCAAGAGCGGTTGGACCCTTCCCAGCTTAACAGGCCTAACGATCTTGAAGCGGCAGACATCGACACGCAGGAGGTGTCGAACTTGACTGCCATGTGCACTGATATTAGAGAGCTTCTGGTAAAAACCCAGTCGCATGGCGAGGCGCTTGTCAACGAAGAACTCTGCAAAATGGGATCGGACGTTTCGGAGGACGTCGTCCAGGAGGTGATGGGTAAACATGCGATTTCAGATGATGGCGGCGTACCATTATTCCGATTCTGCATAAATCCAAAATCCTTCGGGCAGACGGTTGAGAATCTCTTCTATATCAGCTTCTTGGTTCGTGACGGCAGTGTGGGTATATCGCTTGATAGCAATCGACTCCCTACTCTGCGTAAGTGAAACCTGGCTCTTTGCCAATTACAACATAGTTGCCCATCCTCTAGAGAGACAGCTAACTTTCCCCCCCTCTCTAGTCCCCTCTCAGCCTGCTGCACCGTCTGAAGCGCAGGCTAAGAAGCTGAAAAAGCATCAAACCGTTTTCAGCCTTGATTTCGAGACATGGGAAAATCTAATCGAAGTGTTCGATATCCGGGAGCCCTTGATTCCGCATCGAATTGACGAGGCAACGGAATCGGAAAATACAGAAAGGACTTCTGGATGGCATGGCTAGAAGCGAAATCGTGCCAATTTGCGTCGCAGAATATACCCAGTCCCTCCCCATTTTCGTATTGATATTCAGTGTTTTCTGCAACTTTTGATTTATTTATTCCCCCCTCTCCCCACCCCCCCAATCTATTCTTCACTTGACTCCCGCTTTGCAACTTATATTTCTCTTTTGTGTCACATTTCTTGGCGCATTCTTACTAGCCTCCATCTTTTTTAATTAATTTATTCATGCTCTGCAATGTGCATTATTATTGAAGCTCTGAAACTTACATACACATTTTTTGTTATGTTTACTGAGGCTGCCCGTATTTTATCTTGGGTTCTGATGTTGGGATGCACCTTTAATTCTTCACATGCGCGCGACAATCCGAACATGTAGAATAAAAGCTACTTGACCCCTGGAGACCATCGTTTTGGACACCAATTCAACTGGTTACGTTAATAAGCTAGAATTAATAAGTACTCCGTACTCCGTGCAGGTAAACTTCCTCGGCAACTACACAGGTTGTTTAACTACGTCATCGAGATTGTTCAGGGCTGACAAACCGGGAAGATTGTCTGCTCCCGCCTGCAACCGGCATCTTCCCAGACGCGTTCACGGCTTGCTTTGAAATAGCTATTTAATACCTGTGAACCCTATGATGGTTTGCTCTTGGCAGCCTCCTTAACGTCGAACTTCGGGGTTGTTTGATTAATGTCCTACCTCAGGCCAACTACGCTCCCCAGTACAACTGCCAGCGCCGCCACCACATATTTCCTGTACAGTGGCATTGTTCAATTCTCTTCATATCACTCTACATTAATCCCTTCAGAGTCTGGTTTGTTGATTAGACGTCGTTGTTTCCATCAGTATAACCTCCTAGCGAAAACGAGTCCACTCCCTAGTAATGACAACTTTGTTGCTCAAGTGATACATCACCCTGAAAGTTTCCGCCAGATCGTCGATTTCCGTCGCCCGTTTGCCAAACAATTAGCATCTGGGTCTTTTCTTTTTAGCACGATGACTTCAAAATTGGTTCCTCCGCGTCCAGAGGATGTCATGGTAATACGGAAAATCCAGCCTGATATCGTCACTTTGAATGTTCCTTTCTACCGATTTGGATACGTAAGAATCGGTGGACGGTGTACGATTGGTATGAAGCACTTCGCAGATGGCAATGGATGACGTAAATAGTGTTCGACACATGCTAACGGAATCACTGCAGTCCGTCTACAGAGTGGCTCTCTAGCTGTATTCTCACCAGTCTCTCTTACCCCAGATGCCCGAGAGGCGGTAAATTCCCTAGGCGGCAACGTCAAATATATTATTGCGCCGGACATGGAACATCACATATTCGTCACACCTTGGAAAGGAGCTTATCCAAACGCCCAGATCATCGCACCGGAGGGCCTGAAGGAAAAACGCGAGGAGAACCCAGAAACAAAGGGTATTGGATTCGATCACATCTTCACCGCAGCCAACAAAAGAACTCTCAGAATATCAAATGAGTTCCACGCCGACTTTGATGTCGAATATGTCAATTCGCACCCTAGCCGTGAAATAGTCTTGCTACACAAGCCCTCCAAGACCCTCATCGAAGCAGATTTGCTCTTCAACCTTCCTGCCACCGAGCAATTTTCGAAATCTGGAGAGTCGGCCACACAGGGGATACTCACAAAGATATTTAATGCTATTCAAACAACAAAGCCACCCGCGATGGGTCAAAAGCGGTTTATCTGGTATCTCTTATCAGCGAAAGATCGCAAGGGTTTTGCGCAGTCAGCAGCTACTATTGAGGGGTGGGATTTCGATCGGATAATTCCGTGTCATGGAGATGTCATTGAAAGCGGAGGCAAGGAGATATTCCGTAATTTGTTTGAGTGGAATTTGGAGGCGGCGAAGAAGCAGACGTAAATGTAAAAAAAGGCTGTCTTGTCTGTACTTAGTAGTTAAAAGTTTCGATTTCATAAGAGGAAATTGGAATATGAATCTGTGTTTTCTATCCTTTGTATGTATATACAATATTTACAGATGGCATGGGAAGTTGGCATGCGCATTTGATAGTTGCTATTATTGCTGTTTGAGCCCCCAGCTTAAATAGCCGTAACTAGCGGTAAAATATTTAGCTACCGGCGAGCCCAAAGCTGCATCACGTGGGCGCCTGACGTAGCTCACAACTTGTGAGCCTTATATCAAGACAGCGGTTGCGAAGATGGGGCACAACGTCATATGAGAATAACGAGAGAACCAAGCGGTTCTAGTGGCCGAGAAAGTCGACTCGTCAGGATGGACACTTACACCTTCGCAACCTCCGCGCAGGTTGACCTACCAATCTATCTGAAGATGTAAGTGCAGCTCAAGAACAGACATCTTCGGCAGCTGCCTTTAGTTCGCAATAACTAACTGTCTTCTTTAGATGCAGTTTGGAAGGCAAACAAAAACAGATACCTTTTTCCGTCTTAATTAAAAACCCTGAGCTTCGACACCTCGGATCGAACCAGAGCCCGATATCAGACCTTTACATTACCGTCCAACTATGGGCTAGTTCTAAACCTCTAGGTGTTCCCGTCCAGACGGCATATAAAGCATTTAAGACAACCCGAACATGGAATGAATGGCTTACAATGCCCGTATGTATAAAAGATGCACCGGTCAATAGCCAGCTGGCCATCACCGTTTGGGATCTGTCACCATTGGGCGGAAACGATGCTTACGGCCATTCTGTCCCTTTTGGTGGAACCACCATATCATTATTCGATGACGATGGTACTCTGAAAAAGGGCAGACAGAAGTGCAAAATCTACCGGCACAAGGCCGCGGATGGGCTTTCGAATACCACGACACCGTCCGCCCCGCCGCAAAAGCGCCGTTTATCTCCTCATATAGACCATGGCCCGACCCCGGAAGAAGAGGAGTTAGAGCGTCTGGAAAAACTCCTGAAGAAACATGAGATGGGCGAGATACCCCGAGTTGACTGGTTAGATCAGCTAGTATTTCGAGCTGTGGAAAAGAAAAAGTTGGAGGCTGAGGAATCTGCGAAAAAAAGGGCAATACGCAACCAAGCCGTTAGGGCGAAAGTTGCAGTGAAGACAAATGGAATGACAGACAACCTTGGTGATGATGATGAGGAGGAAGATGAGATAAATGATCACGAAGAGAACTTTGTCCTCTATATCGAATTCCCACGCTTTGATTTTCCTGTTGTTTTCGAAGATTTCGAGTATCCTCGTCCGCCGATATCCTCATACTCTCAACAGCCTTTGTCGGGCTCTAATTCCACACTCAAATCACCACCAGAAGTCCGTTTGGGACCCGATATAGATGGCGCGGGTAACGACGATGATGACCATCGGATAATTCGAATATATGACCCCGAGGTTGGCCAGAAAGGGAACCCTTGCGAGGACAAACATCGGAGACTAGTTCGTAGCCACCGGACTGGAATTATGGATCGCGATCTCAAGCCAAATCCAAAGATCCGTGATGAATTGAATGAAATCATGTTATATGGACCTACGCAAGAACTGAACTCTGAGGAGAAAGACCTTGTCTGGAAGTTCCGACATCATCTTACTCGTGATAAGAGAGCCCTGACTAAGTTCGTGAAATCGGTCAATTGGCAAGATGTTAGCGAAGCTCGACAGGCCGTGGAAATTCTCCCCAAGTGGACTGAGATAGATGTGGACGATGCGTTGGAACTTCTTGGGCCCACTTTTGATAACCCAGCTGTACGCGCGTATGCGGTAGACCGACTGAGGAAGTCTGATGATGAGGAATTGCTCCTATACCTCTTGCAACTAGTACAAGCCTTAAAGTTTGAGGCAATCCCTGCCGAAGTCGCTGAAGATATAACACAAGATTCCTCATTAACCAATTTTCTCATCACGCGAGCTGCGAACAATCCGCTACTTGGAAGCTATTTTCACTGGTACCTCATGGTCGAGTGTGATGATGCAGGCCCAAGCACTATTTCCGCCCATCGCAAACTGTTCGCCCGCGTTGAGTACTACTTCATGGTCGAGCTGGAGAAACACCATCCTGAACAGAGGAAAATTTTATTACGACAGGGCGAACTCATTACAATTCTGACCAAGATCGCGAAGGATATTCGCTTCTCGAGGGTTAACCGTGCTGTCAAAATCGAAAAGCTGAAGAAGTTTCTGCTAGACCCTAAGAACGAGCTTACTACCATTGACCCTCCTCTTCCGCTTCCGCTGGACCCGGAAATTCTGATCACAGGGTGCTTCGCTGAGGGTTCTAATGTTTTCAAATCCTCCCTCTCACCCTTGCTTATCAACTTCAAACTTTCTGATGGACGAAAATACCCTGTAATTTTCAAGGTTGGAGATGACCTTCGACAAGATCAGCTTGTCATCCAAATCATCAGTCTCATGGATCGGCTTTTGCAGAAGGAAAATTTAGATCTGAAACTCACTCCTTACCGGATAATTGCTACCGGCGCTAATGCCGGTGCGATGCAATTTATCCCCTCAACATCCTTATCAGCAGCGTCGGCAAAATACAAGGGCTCGATACTTGCATATTTGAGAGCCAACAATCCTGATGACAACGAGCCACTAGGTGTCCGCAAAGAAACGATGGATACGTACATAAAATCTTGCGCTGGCTATTGCGTGATAACTTACCTCCTAGGTGTAGGCGATAGGCATTTAGACAACCTATTGATTGCACCAGACGGCCATTTCTTCCACGCAGATTTTGGCTTCATTCTCGGCCGTGACCCGAAACCTTTTGCCCCGATGATGAAACTCTGCAAAGAAATGGTGGAAGGCATGGGTGGAGCGTCGTCGCCCAACTATCTCCTATTTAAACAATATTGTTTTACAGCATATACCACCCTTCGGAAATCCGCGAACCTCATCCTCAACCTTTTCAGCTTGATGGTCGATGCAAATATTCCAGATATCCGCGTCGAGCCGGACAAGGCTGTACTGAAGGTGAAGGAGAGGTTCCACTTGGAAATGAGTGAAGAGGAGGCAATTCGCCACTTTGAGCAGCTCATTGGTGATAGCGTGAATGCTATTTTTGGAGTTGTCATTGACCGTCTTCATGATTTCGTGCAGGGATGGAGGGCATAGTTTTAAACAAAGCGCTCATACTTCCGCATAAGCAGCCCGCATGCAAAACTTTAGATCAATGATACAGATCCATACTTGACCCGCGTTGTTGGCCCTTTTCGAAATACTAGTTTGGTGAAAACGGATGCTGGGGAGTTTTGGGGATGTTTGGCGTGTTCTTGTTCAGGTACATACATGTATTACATTGCAAATACTTAGAATATACCCTGGTAACGGGATAACTGGATAATATATTTTGGGTTTACATACGATTTTCATATAGTTATACATATCGAGTACAGAGTACAGATGTAGAGTTCCCAACTGTTTGGCTCGTTGTATATTTATAATTACGTTGGCCCTCATCACCGACAAATTTCCATCAAATATTGCTTGTTTACCAGGCCCTGCCATCCCCCTGAGAATACCATTAATCTTCCATCCCGGACGTTTTCCCTCTCCAGAACTTAAGTAGTTAATTCCTCCCCGCAGTCTCGAGCAAAAATGGGTCATAACGGAATGGAGTTGTTGGAGAACACATACTAGTGTTTTTTTAAATGAAAACCGGGATCGGCTTCGAATTTCCTCGTCGCAACGGCATATCTTCCGCCAAGACCACGTGATTCGAAACCTACCTAGGTATTGTAGCTAGTTTTTCACCCTATCGCAAAAGACGATGCAATATTGGTTGCAATCAAGTCATTGATCTTCCACCTTCGTTCCCCTACATCCAGGGAGCGTGTCTATACTTACCATGTGAATCTACCTCTTACTCCTTGCAACTTTCGCCTTTGTCTGTTCTCCTTGGCAGAATGGCCGCGATAGCCTCCACTTTTGTGCCACGCGCGGCGTTCCCGAAAATTGACAGCATTCCGCGCACATATTTCTTGGGCCATCATAGAGCTGGACTTGAGAAAATGAAAAAGATGCTGTCATCGATCGATCATGTTATTGAATGTAGAGACTTTCGAATTCCTGCCACATCAATCAACCCTGTGTTCGAGGAAGCTTTGGGTGAGAAACCTAGGTGGATCATATATACCAAGCGGGACCTTGGAGGCGATCTCAAGCTAGCGAACCAGCGCGTGAGTACCAGCCCTTAGACATATAGTTGCTTCCTCTCCACGAGAACCTATTATACTAATGTTGGGTTGTGCCTACCTAGAAAGAGAAGATGATACAACGATGGCATAAGTCCTCGAAAACCTTCTTTACCAACCGTTTCGACACGAATACTATCGTCCCGATCGTCAAAGCGATTAAAAGGCAACCTTTTAACTTAGATAAGCTCACAGGTGCTCGAATCCTGGTTGTTGGAATGCCGAATGTTGGAAAATCAAGCCTGATAAACGCACTCCGAAATTTTGTCATGAAAAAGGGAAAAGCGGCCAAGACCGGCGCGGATCCTGGCGTGACGAGGAAAGTCGGCACCGGTATTAAAATTCTCGAGAGGGTTCGGGGTTCAGTCTATTTACACGACACACCTGGAGTCTTTGTGCCATACATGCCAGATTCGGAAAGCATGCTGAAGCTTGCGCTTTGTGGTTGTGTGAAACACACTATTATCCCAACCATCACGCTGGCTGACTATTTGCTTTACCAAATAAATCTCCACAAACCAAGACTATATGGGAAATACACGGAACCAACGAATGATATAATACATTTCTTGAAGTCATTTGGTGCTAAAGCAGGATGTTTCGCCAAAGGTGGAACCATAGACCTCGAGGGCGCTGCTAGAAAGATGATTCACATGTATCGAGAGGGAAAATTTGGAGCTTTTATCATGGACAATTTACAGGAGACGACGTTGAACATACAGCAAGAGCGATTGGC